GAACCATTTCCCCTGAAAACTGGAACAAGACAAGGATGCCCACTCTCACCCCTCCTGTTCAACATAGTATTGGAAGTCCTGGCTCGAGCAATCAGAGAAGAGAAGGCAATCAGGAGTATCCACATAGGAAAAGAAGAAGTCAAGTTATCACTCTTTGCAGATGTTATGATTGTGTACCTTGAAAACCCAAGAGAATCTGTCAAAAACCTCCTTACACTGATAAAGGCCTTTGGCAAAGTCTCAGGATACAAAATAAATGTACAAAAGACAATCGCATTTCTCTACACCAATAATAAACAAACAGAAACCCAAATAAAAAACACAATTTCCTTTTTTTAAAATTCTAGATGGTGACTGCGGTAAGACCGAGGAAAAGAAGTCTGACGAGAAGGCCCCGGGGGTGGCCTCCAGACCTCACTGGCTGCTGGCGGGGGCTGCCTTTGGAAGCCTCATGTTCCTCACCCATTGGGTCTTTGGAGAGGTCTCTCTTGTTTTTAGATGGGCAGTGAGTGGACATCCCCATCCAGGACCTGATCCGAACCCATGCGGGTGAGTTGGGCTTGGAGGAGTCCAGACACTGGCTGTCCCTCCCCTCTTGGCCTGCTGGGTCTGTGCTAGCCAGAGACCCATCCACTCTCCTAGAGATCAGAGATGCAGGAGGACGCTGTTTTGTTCTGGAGATGGAGGCACCACAGGGTGTTGGCCTCTGTACTGATGGCTCACTGGGAGCATGTGAAGCAGGGCTGACACTGTGCACAGCTGGGGGGCTTCTCAGGCCCCGGGTGGGCATGCTGAGGAATCCCTGCACAAGGAGCGTCCTCAGTGGCAGTTCCTCCAGGCCCCATGGTTACCACAGGGCCAGACCACAGGGCCCCCGATCTCTGCCCTCTGCAAAAGAGGGAAGCCCAAGAGAGCTCTACACCTCCTGGGACTCTTGTTGCAGCTGTGTGACATGCAGGGATTAGCAGAATGGAGTCCAAGTGTCGGTCCATGTCAGCCTTCTCCCTACTCTTCAGGTGGGCAAGTCCACCCTGTGGCTAAGTCTGTCCCATGGCCAAGTCCATCCCGTATGCAAGTCCATCCCATGGCCAATTCCATCTGTGGCCAAATCCATCCTGTTGGAAAATGTATCCCATGGGAAAACCCATCCCGTGGCCAAGTCCATCCCATGGGAAAGCCCATCCCATGGCCAAGTTTATCCTGTGGCCAAGTCCATCCCATGGGCAAGTCCATCCCTTTGCCAGGTCCATCCCATGGCCAAGTCCATTCCATGGGAAAGTCCATACCATGGCCAAGTCCATTCCATGGGCCAACCCATCCTGTGGCCCAGTCCATCCCCTGGCCAAGTCCATCCCACAGGAAAGTCCATCCTGTGGCCAAGTTTATCCTGTGGCCAAATCCATCCCATGGGTAAGTTCATCCTGTGGGAAAGTTCATCCCATGGGAAAGTCTATCCCATGGCTAAGTCCATCCCTTCATGCAAACACTTTGGAGGATCCCTTAAAAGATATCCTCACATATCTTTTCTCTCTCGCAGTGCTGAGGTTCCCACCATGGAAGGTGGGCAACCTTCCAGATCTTTCTCTAGGGGGCATCTGGGCATGCCCCACAGCACCTCAGCCTCAGCTGGCCCAAGCCTGGACTCAGCGTTTCCCAGCCCCTTCCCACCTCCACCATGTGTCCCTCTTCCCCATGCCTGGCCCCCACAGCCACCCTCATCATCTTCACCTGAAGCCAAGAGCTATCTTAGATCTGTGCCTTCCTCATTTTCCCCACGTCAACCCCCACCATCTCTCAAACCCATCCCTTACTCTCCATCCCCAAGCTCATCTGCCTGCAGAGTCCTCTCCACTGCTCCTCCCGAAGGCTGCTGGCATTTCTCTTCAGCGTGGCCTTCTCTGCACTGCTCCAGAATGGCTGCTCATTGCTCCTCTGCTGAAAACTGTTCAACCATCCCCTGCATTCTCCCATGTGAGGCAGGATCTGGCCCCGGCTGACCTCTCCACATGTTTGCTGACCTCACCCCTGCTGCATCTGCGCTGAACCCACCTGTGGTTCTCTGGAAGTTCCATACTGTTCATCCTCCCTCTGCACACTCGTGCTGTTCCCTCTGCCTGGGCTTCCCTTTCTGCCTTGACATCCTAGTAAGCTCTTACCCTTCAAAACCCAATTCAAGCATTCTCTGTGAAATCTTTTTTGATTTCACAGAGGCTCCCTCTTTATGACATACTCTTTGACTCAATCTATCATCTATCTGTCTGTATATAGCTATCATCTATCAATCTATCCATTTATCATCTATCTACCTGTCATCTATCCATCTACCTATCTATCTATTATCTATCGTCTATCTTGCTATCATCTATTATATTTATCCATCTATCAATCTGTTCATCTATCATCTGCTATATCTGTCTTCTTATATCCATCTATCCATCATCCATCCATCTCTGTCATCTATCATCTATCCTTCTACCTACCCATCTGTCTGTCTATCATCTATTATCTCTGTCTTCTGTCAATCTGTTCATCTCCATCTGTCATCTGTTGTCTATCCATCTACCTATCTACCTACCTATCTATTATCTATATCATCCATCCATCAGTCTATTGAATAATCTATCATCTATTATCTCTATCTTCTGTCTGTCTATCCCTTCATTTATCTATCCATCTCCATCTTCCATCTATCATCTGTTCATCTGCCTACCCATCTATTATCTATCCATCCATCCATCACTTTTTCTCTGTTCTTTACCATATTTCTCTGTATCACAGAGTTTTTAAAAAACACCTTTCTTCCTCTCTAGACCTTGAGCTCCTTGAGGCAGGGACTGGGAAAAGGAATGAACACTTACTGCTTACTCTGTGTCAGGCACTGAACAGAGATGTTTGTGTCTGTTTCTTCATTTAGAGGCTGCATCTGTTTCGCCCCAGACACTCCAGCACGTCTGGGAGGAAGGGAGAGGAGGAAGAAGGAACGAAGGGACGAGGGTGGGAAGGGGTCTATCCCTGCGGGTCACAGCGTCATTTCCTAAGTTCCCAAGAAAGCAGGCATGAGGTGTGCAGAGAGCACAGGAGGCCAGGCAGGAGCCAAGGCTGGGCATGTGCCATGTGACTTTGGGCCATTTGCATTGCCTCCCAGCCTTGTTCTTTTCACCTGGAGCAGGAGGATTTTCTTTTCAGACCTTTCCTAATTGTGTGTGTCAGAGGCGCATGCTGAAGATGCACCTCAGCACCAGCGCCTCCTGGACTGTTCAGATGACTGATCTGTTGAGAGGTTGATGATCACTCTGAAAGTAAAAAGGCTTCAGAATACGTAGGCTTGGGAAACACTACCGTCACATGCCCTGTAATTCATACGCACCAGCATGTCAGAGACCCTGGGAGGGTTCCCAAGCTTTGAACATGGACTTCTTCCTGAGAATAGCCAGTCCACCTCCTAGGTGGGGGGTGCTCAGAACTCTGTTGGAAAAATGCTGTGCGGGGCCGTCATGGCTCCCGGCCATCACTAGGAATTGCTTTCTGAAAGTCTCCAGATTCTGCTTGAGGAAACGGGTTGTAGATATGTTTGGATGGGAGGAGGAGGTGAGAGGCCCAGGGTGTGCAAGGCCCTGGGAAACCGGCGGAGCAGTGTGGACCACAGACCTGAGAGGACGAGGGCGGCAGACTGTGCCTTGGCCTTGTGTTCCGGCTTCTCCTTGGCCTGCCCAGCCCAGTGACCCTGGCATGCTTACTTTTCTGTAGCACTTTCCACCTTCTGATAATCTGATTATTATTGTTATTAGAGACCTGGACTCACTCTGTCTCCCATTAGGCTGGAGTACAGTGGTGCCATTATAGCTCACTGCAGCCCTCTACCTCCTGGGTTCAAGAGATCCTCCCACCTTGGCATCCCTAGAAGCTGGGACTACAAGTGTGAGCCACTATCCTGGCTAACTGTTTTCTTTTTCTTTCTTTCTTTTTTTTTTGAGTTGGAATCTCACTCTGTTGCCCAGGCTAGAGTGCAGTGGCACACTCACGGCCACCCCAGCTTCGATCTGCTAGGCTCTGGTGATCCTTCTGCCTCAGCCTTCCAAGTAGCCAGAACTACAGGCATGCACTACCACACCTAGTTAATTTTTTTTTTTAATTGTAGAGACAAGGTCTAGCCAAGTTGCCCAGGCTGGTCTCGAACTCACAGGCTCAGGCAGTCCACTAGCCTCGGCCTCCCAGAGAGCTGGGATTACAGGCTGAGCCACCGAGCCCAGCCCTATTTTATTTTTCTTAAGACTGGATCTCACTCTGTCACCCAGGCTGGAGTGCAGTGGCACAATCATGGCTTACTGCAGCCTTGACCTAGACTCAGGCAATCCTTCCATCTCAGCTGGAATTACAATTGTGTACCACCACACCTAACTAATTTTTTCATTTTTCATAGAGAGGAGGTCTTGCTGTGTTGCCCAGGTCTGAAACTCCTGATCCCAAGTGATCCTCCTGCCTCAGCTTCCCAAAATTCTGGGATTATAGGTGAGCCACCACACCAGGCCAAATTAAAAAAAAAATTTTTTTGTAGAGACAGAGTCTTGCTGTGTTGCCTAGGCTGGTCTCAGACAACCAGGCTCAAGAGATCCTCCTGCCTCAGCCTGGCAAAGTGCTGGGATGCCACGTGTGAGCTACCTTGCCTGACCTAATCTGCATTATTTATTAATGGTGTTTACCATGCCTCTCCCCCACTGGAATGTGGGTGTTATGAGGGAAAGGGATCTTGGTTCATGACTCTATGAAGCACCTAGAACACAGCCTGGCACATAGTAGGCCCTCATAAAGAGGTATTGTTGAACTGGGGGGTAGAAAGAGACAACACTGCCTGCACTGCCTCTCCTCATGGCTGGTCTTCTGTAGCCCAGGGCAATAATCCCTAACCTTAGGGTACAGGGCAGGCCATGTAGTAGCCAGAGCCTGAGGACTGCTTTTGGATTCTTGGTCCTGGTTAGGCTACCGTGCATGGCCTTGGATGGGGTGCTTACATGCCTCTTTCCCCTCATTCTTCCCTGCAAAATGGGGAAAACAATAGCCTTTGCCTTACTTGTGAGGATTAAATGAATCATACAGGGAAAAAGTTTTAAACAGGCCAGGCACAGTGATTCACACCTATTGCAACACTTGAGGAGGCTGAGGTGGGAGGATTTCTTGAGCCCAGGAGTTTGAGACCAGCCTGAACAACATAGCTAGTAGACCCCATCTCTGCAAAACATAAAAAAAAATTTGCCTGGTGTGGTAGTGTGCACCTGTAGTCCCAGCTACTCGGGAGGCCAAGATGGAAGGATCACCTGAGCCCAGGAGGTTGAGGCTGCAGTGAACTGTGATCAGTCCGTGTAGTGGCCAAGAGCCTCATCCCAGAGCCTGAGGACTGCTTTTGGATTCTTGGTCCTGGTTAGGCAATCTAGCCTGGGTGAGACCCTGACGACAAAAAAAAAAAAAATTTAAATAGTACCTGCTTACTTATCTACTAATCTATCTTGTAGCAAATACTGTGTTTTTAGCTTAATTTCTGTTACAGCTATTTGATTGAGTGCTGTTTATAGCTATGATTGCTGCTAGATTTCACCCTAAAGTTTAGTTAAATTTTTTTCTTCCTCTTCCAGGTTATTAGCCAAAATAGCAAAAGAATGAATACTTTGTAGTTTTTTAAAAAGGCACAACTGTTAATCATTGATCAAAGTGACACTGGTCTCAGGAAGTCAGAGACCAAGGACAAGAGCAGTATTGAGCTAGACAAAGGGGAGAAAGAAGAGGCAGACAAAACAGAGTGATCCTGTGACTTTGACTTTCTGTCTCTGGCAGAGTTGTTTTAAAATGTCTTGACGTTTAATGGTCTGAGAAAACTCAGTCACTACACTGACATTGGCCATGACAAGGCTGCGGAGGTCAGTGACCTCCCGTCGGAGCTCCCACTGCTTCCCTGTTTCGTTGGGTATGATTTTAACACCAAGTGGGCGCTCATGATCTCCTTGGTTGTGTCTTGCTTATGTTATGTCCCAGGTGAGCCCAGAGGGGGAGGATCTGTTGTGTTTTATGTTTAAGGCAACGAGATATTTAATAATGTCAGATGTCTTACAGCATGTTGTTTTTATTTTTTACAGAGGTGCGGTTCTGCTGGGCTTGGCAGGTGGCCTGATGCTTCCAGCTTGTCCATGGTTCCCTGAGACAAGTTTGACCTGGTGGACTGCAGGTACGTGGTGTTACCTGCAGGGGCGCCTCTGCTGAGCTTAGTTCTCTGGTGTGCTTGCGAGCAGGGGCAGCCCAGCTGGAGGTGGACGCCACCGTATGAACGTGCACCATGACCAAATGGGTGTTACAACCAGCAGCAGCTGCTGTAGCCCAGATGTCTCCAAGGTCACCGGGGACTTCCTGCCCACGTTCCTGCTTCCCCCTCCGGCAGCCTCCTCTCCTCTTGTGGCTGTCCGATTCCCCCGACTACTGCCATAGCACCACCCCCTTAAAAATCCATAAACAAGGCACAAGTGTAAGCAGCAGATTTGTAAAATTCTTGATTTTTAATTAAAACATTGTTATTTTTTGGGCTAGATGAGGTGCCTCACACCTGTAATCCTAGCACTTTGGGAGGCCGGGGTGGGTGGGTTGCTTGAGACCCAGGAGTTCAAGACCAGCCTGGGCAACATAGACCTACCAAAAATCAAAATACTAGCTAGACATGATGGTGCATACCTGTAGTCCCAGCTACTTAGGAGGCTGAGGCAGGAGGATCATCTGAGCCCAGTGGGTTGAGGCTGTGGTGAGCTGTGGTCGTGCCACTGTACTCCAGCCTGGGTGACAGAGTAAGAAACCGATTAAAAAAAACCCTCAAAACAAACGAAAAAAAATCCTTCAGTCTGTTATAGGCAAGTACCACGTTTGGTTCTATGAGGAGAGATGTCCTTGGGTTAGTTAGGCCAACGGTTTACTGCTGCGCTGGATGCCGCATGCAGGTTTGTGGGAGTGTGTGTCAATCATGGAAGATATGGGTGAATGACATCCTGACTCCAACTGTGCCAATGACTGACTGCGGGACCTCTAGAAGTCACCTTCTGGTTAGACCTTGACTTTCGCCTCTGCCTGGAGCATGGACCTGCATAGCCCTGCATTCTGCTCTGGTTCTGAAGGCTGCATGTGGATCATCCTGTGAGCTTTGCACCTTCCCGTCTGACTCGTTGTTCCCTCTCTTACAGGAGTGGCCTCTGCCGCGGGCCTCCTCTACCTGCGCACGTGGGCTGCTGCTGCATGTGGCTGCCTGCTGGCCGTCTTCACCGCGTCCATGTGGCCTCAAGTGCTTGGGCACCTGATTAGCTCAGGGACATGCCCTGGGAAAGCCATGAGCGTTGCCATGATGTTTTATCTTTTAGCGATCTTTTTCTGTGCGTGGTGCACGGCCTTTAAGTTTGTTCCAGGAGGTGTCTATGCTCGAGAAAGATCTGATGTGCTTTTGGGTGAGTACACTTAAAAGGTCTGGATTAAAAAATGGGAAATCAAAGTATTTAGGCTGGGTGCGGTGTCTCATGCCTGTAATCCCCGCATTGTGGGAGGCCCAGGCGGGAGGATGGCTTGAGCCCAGGAGTTTGAGATCAGCCTGGGCAACATCTCTACAAAAAATTTTTTTCTAAAAAGATCTGGATTAAAGTAACTGCCTCTGCATATCCTTTAGAACTGACTAGGGCTCAGCACTTGATATGAATGACGGAAATAAACAGGATGATTTTGCTTTCTTAGTAAAATAGACTCTCTTGAGTAAAAAATAAGACCCAACCTGGAAAGATGTCTGAATTATACATTAAAAACAAGTTTCTTAACTCATCAGTGCATTTCAGCGTATTTGTTACTGCAAAGACCTTTTATTTTATTTTATTCTTATTTTTGAGTCGGAGGCTTACTCTGTCCCTCAGGCTGGAGCACAGTGGCATGCTCGCGGTTACCGCAGCCTCAACCTGCTGGGCTCAGGCAATCCTTCCACCTCAGCCTTCCTAGTAGCTGGGACTACAGGCACACGCCACCACATGTGGCGAATTTTTTGATTTATTGTAGTGATGAGGTCTCGCCATGTAGCCCAGGCTGGTCTTGAACCCCTGGGCTCAGGCAGTCCTCTCTCCTCTGCCTCCCAAAGTGCTGGGATGACAGGCATGAGCCACTGTACTCGGCTCTGTCCATTTTCAAATGAACTTTTGTATCCCGTGAGCTAGACATATTCCATGACAGACTGATTTGGAAGGTCATATTTTCAAATTACATGAAATATTCTAGAACCAGCTTTTGAGAATTAAATACTTCTGGTAAGTACCCAAGCTCTCGTCCCATCAGAGAAATACACTGTGTGTTTCTTTTGCCGTAACCTTGGCTTTGCAAACTTTGTGTTTCTTCTGGTTTCTTCCAGGTGCGGGTACTCTCTCCTGCTCTATTTTCCTGTCCAATGCCCTACTTTTTTCTTATTCCAGCTTACTTAGGGGTCTGCCATGAGAAGAAAACAAATGGAAGTAAGAGCTGTTCTGTGCATGAGTTTGCTTCTTTACATTATTATGAATGATGAGCTTTTTGAGTTCCTTCTCACTGGATATGGCATTGCAGAAACTGCATTACTGTAGCTTCATACATCCAATAACTTTTTTTAGTAAGAGTGACATATTGATAAGGCCAGAAAAGCCAAGAAATGTTGGTCACATTCAGAGCAGCTTTAAATACAACTGAATTTTAAAGAATCTGTATTATATCAGAAATGAACTATACAGAGAATGCCAAAAAAGTATACACATTTTAAGAAAGGAAAAAATTGTGTTAAAATTGTAACACTCAATATATACCAATAGCAAAAAATGAATACAAATCATATTTGACTTCTGCAATGACAAGAGGTGCTCAGAGTGGTTCCCATCAGCATCCAGATACTCCTGATGACGACAAGTGACCTCAGGACTTGGTGCTGGGTGAGGCCTCCCGGGCCTTCCCTTGTGCACACCAAATTCATCACAAATGCATGCATTTGTTAGGCATTGGGAGGGTCTGTTGCATACTCACGCCTCCCTTGTCGTTGTACTTCCACAATGTTCTTGAATTTCAAATAGCACTTGAAAATGGTCTTGCACTCCTCAACCAAGCTTCTGCTGTTTTCTTTGACTGTCTTGCCTTTTGCATGGTGATGGTAGCATTCATTTGATGAATGCCGTCTTCTAAGCCAACATCATACGACACATTGCTCCTGTATTTAAATTCAGTTTTAAAAAGTAACACAGATAAAAATCTCTTAAAATGTTTATTCATATTTTTGGCACCTGGTACATTTAGTTTAGAGTTTTCTCCTGCTGTTTCCTGGAATATTGAACTGACTGTTTTTCAGCCTTCCACCTATGCTGAACTTTCACTTACCATTTCCTGATTTACATATTGTGCCATATCTTGGTGGTCTTTCTCATTATGTCCAGGTTTGGGCGTATTTAAACTTGACTCGTCAGCTAGTTTGTTGCATATCCAGTTTAGCTCAGTTTTATTGGCTAGCTTCTGGCATCTTCTTCAAAGATCAGAGAACCCACAGCCCAGGGCAGAATTATCGCCACAAGCGCTGCTGTGCCTGGAACTGACGTCTCTGCTGTGCTCTGAGACTTGGTGTGTGGGAGGGCTCTTACTGCATCCCTGTGGCAGTCTAGAAGCTTCTGCCATCCCCTGCCTGGTCACCAGGCTGTGATGAACGCCTTCAGCCAACTGACACCTAGGCAATACTCAGGAAATGTGAGGGAATTCCCAACAGGCAAAGGCAGGGCTCTTCCCACTTAAAGCCAATTCCTGGAACCCTACCTGGTCTCTTGGGATCTTCCCAGTGATTGAGGGCACTCCATGAGTCGATGCTGAGGGACCGAGATCAATTAACTTAACTGAATTTTCAGGGTGCGTTCCTTTAAAAGAACTCTCAGCTCCTGGCACTTACTTTTGGAAGAATCTGGGGATGAAACCAAAACATGTTCCTTCTTGCTCTCTTAATAGGGACAATAATGGTAATTATTGGGCTAAATATGCTTTTTGGTCCTAAGAAAAACCTTGATGCTCTTCTTCAAACAAAAAACAGTCCTAAGGTGCTTTTCAGGAAGAGTGAAAAATACGTGAAACTTTGTAAGTATAGTTTGACTTTCTTTTTTAAAATGTGTCTTATATACAATTTCAAGTGTATGGAATTAAAGAGTGTAATGAACCCTCACACACCTTTCACCCACTTTTGACAGTTGCTGGCATCTTGGCAGTTGTTGTTTTTTTTGTTTTTGTTTTTGTTTTTGAGTTGGAGTCTCACTCTGTCGCCCAGGCTGGAGCGCAGTGACAGGCACGCGATGCTCACAGCCACCCCAGCATCGACCTGCTGGGCTCCGGCGATCCTTCCACCTCAGCCTTCCAAGTAACTGGAACTACGTGCTACCACGCCTGGCTAATTTTTGGTTTGTTGTAGAGATGAGGTCTCACCAAGTTGCCTGGGCTGGTCTCCAACCCGCGGGCTCAGGCAATCCACTTACCTCAGGCTCCCAAAGTGCTGAGATTACAGGCTGGCCAGTGTTGTACAGCTAGCTTCCCTACTTTTTTTGTTTGTTTAGGCACTTTAAAGCAAATCTCTGAGGTCATGCCACTTCAATCATAACCACTCTGTAGTGGTGTTATTTCACTTCTAACACAGATGACATGATTCAGCAGCTAGAATTTCCAAAATGCTTTGTTCTAACAGTTGAAATTATTCATTCCAATTGCTTGTTTTTCTTTTTTGGGAGATTAAATATGTTAATGATTGGAATGTTGATGAATTAAAAACTCAAACATGAAATTAGTTTACTCTTCCATATCTCATTCGTTTAAAATGGACTGGATTAGCCAGGCTCTGTGGCTCAGCCTGTAATCCCGCGCTTTGGGAGGCTGAGGTGAGTGGATTGCCTGAGCCCGCGGGTTCAAGACCCGCCTGGGCAACTTGGCGAGACCTCATCTCTACAATAAATCAAAAATTAGCTGGGTGTGGTATTGCGCGCCTGTAATTCCAGCTACTTGGAAGGCTGAGGCAGAAGGATCGTGAGAGCCCAGCAGGTTGAGGCTGCGGTGGTCGGGAGCAGCCACTGCACTCCAGTCTGGGCGATGGAGTGAGACTTCAACTCAAAAAATAAATAAATAAATAAATAATAAATAAATAAAATGGACTGGATTAAATAAAAATTCATGGGATGATGTAATGTACAGATAGTGTGTTAGGTAACTATTATATAGGATACAAGTCATGTGAACAATGTTCTTCATCCTCAGAGACTTGGTACTTTACAAAGGAGACACAATATTCTAGTATAAAGAGATAGAAAACAATTAAGAAGCTGTATACATTTTCAATGTATTTCAAATATAAATGGCACATAGCTAGGCTAGTTGGCTCATGCTTGTAATCTCAGCACTTTGGGAGGCCAAGGTGGGAGGATTGCTTGAGGCCAGAGTTCAAGACCAGCTTAGAGAACATAGTGAGACCTTGTCTCTACAAAAAAAAAAAAATCAACAAAATTAACCAGATGTGATTGTGTATGCCTGTACTCCCTGCTACTTGGAGGCTGAGGTGGGAGGTTCGCTTGAGACCAGAAGGTCAAGACTGCAGTGAGCTGTGATTGTGTCACTGCTCTAGCCTGGGTGACAGAGTGTGACCCTGAATCAAACAAACAAACAAACAAACAAACAAAAAAGTCACAAAGTGGCAAGATAATTATATAAAAACCTTTATATATGTTTCATCTTAATTTGAAAAGATCATATTTAAACTTAGGGGAAATGAGGTTTTTCAATGTGTGCTCTTATATTTTGGTATGTCCCTTGAAACCAGAATCAATTAGTTTTTTGGGTTTTTTTGTTTTTGTTTTTGGGAAGCAGGATTTATTGAAAGGACAGAAAAGCTCCCAGCATGGGAGGGAACCCGAGGGGGTTGCCCTGTTTATTTTTAATTTTTAAAAAATCTGTGTATTTTTGGAGGTGGGGTGGTTAAGAACTATAATAATTCTTTAATTCACTCATCAAATTGAGGCATTTGAAATAGTTACTTGCAGAATTGTTTAGACAATTTTGTGTGATTTTTAAAAATAGACTTTAGGTCGGGAGTGGTGGCACACACCTGTAGTCCCAGCATTTTGGGATGCCGAAGCAGGAGGATTACTTGAACCCAGGAGTTTAAGACAAGCCTAGGCAGCATAGTGAGACCTCGTTTCTACAAAAAAATAAAAATAAAAAAATTAGCCAGGCATGGTGGTGCGTGCCTGTAGTTCCAGCTACTCAGGAGGCTGAGGAGGGAGGATTACCTGAGCCCAGGAGGTTGAGGCTGCGGTGAGCCATGATTGCACCACTGCACTCCAGCCTGGGTAACAGAGGAGACCTTGACTTAAAAAAGAAAAAGTAGACTTTATTTTTAAGAGTAGTTTTAGGTTCATAGCAAAATGAAGTGGGAGGCACAGAGATTTCCGGTATTCATGCTTGCTCTGCATATGCCAGCTGCCTCCTCTCAAACTACTCCCCATGGTGAAGCATTTGTTACAGAACCCACGGCGGCCTCCCTGTTTCCCAAAGGCCAAGTTCACATTAGGGCTGTCGACTTTTGGTGTTGTACCATCTATGGACTTTGACAAATGTATGATGACATGTGTCTTCCATTGCAGCATCATGAGGAATGATTTCCCTGCCCTTCCCACACCCCTGTGCTCCACCGATTCCTCCTTCTGTCCTCTAGACCCCAGCAACCACTGATCTTTTCATGGTTTCTGTTGTTTTGCCTTTTCCAGAATGTCAATTTTTGTCTTTTAATTTGGTGGGTTTGATTTTTATGGTGATGTCTGATGTATTATTTATTTCTGTTCTCTTTTTCATTTCCTACCTTTTCTTTGCATCTCCACCCACCCCCTTTTTCTTCTTGATTTCTTTTTTCTTACATTCCTCCTCTCCACCCTTCTTTCTAGTTTGGGAACTGCACCTTCAGTGTCTGTTCTTTTGTGCTTGGTTGTCTTTCTCTCACATTATAGAAGGTATCCCCCCCGCCCCCACCGGCATCCAGCTTTCACTGCTGCTGGTGAGAAGTCCGCCATCAGGGTGATCATTGCTCTTTTGAAGATAAACCATCTCTACTTTCTGGTATCTCTTAAACTTTCTCTCTCTGTTTTGGCATGCTGCAGCTTCACTGTGATATGTCAGGATATGGCTTTTCCCCCCTCATCTTGCTTGAGAGTCTTTGGGCTTTTTGGACCTGAAGAGTTGTGTCTTTGATCACGTGGAAACACTACCTCTTTCCTGTTCTTTGTCTTGCTCCCTTGGACTTCTGTTAGATGTGTGTTGGACCCTCTTATACTATTCTGCATGTCTCTTAACTCCTTCCATGTTTTCTACCTTGTTTTTTTTTGGCTCTGCCCCTTGCACTGATTCTATTCAGCTTGGTCTAATCTGCTACTTATCTTGTCCATTGAGCTTCTCATTTTAATTGTATAGTTATTTCTTTACAGATTTTTCTGATCATTGATTTTAGTCTCAGTTTCCTTAGTCATACTTTTGAATACCTTGTTTTATTTTTCTAAACATGTGAAGTATACTTATTTTATATTCTGATTCTGAAAGTTCCAATATTTGAAACCTTTGTGAGTTTGAATCTTCAGGGTGTTTTCTTTGCTGGTTCTTGCTCACAGAGACTTTTCTTGTATATTTTACGATTTATTTTTATTTTAAGCACATGATCCTTGGGACATTTTTTAGGGAAGAGTCTTTGAAATCTGGGTTTAAAATATGGGTTATGCATGCATGTCACACATGAAAATTAACCCAATAATTAGACATTTCCCCTTTGCACAAAATCTTTAGCCAGTAAATTCAATACTTTTGTAAAAATTATTATTTGTAAAACAAATTTAAGCTTTTAAAAAACAATTATTTCCTCTTTCTGTTTAGTTTTGTGGCTGCTTGTTGGTGTGGGATTGTTGGGATTAGGACTGCGACATAAAGCCTATGAGAAGAAACTGGGCAAAGGGGTAAGTCATGAAATATCTGAGAGAGAACTTTGTACACTGCATGTAAATGCATGCATCCGTACACTCTGCCATACCGATGGAATGCTAGAGCTGGGTCTGTTGACCTCAGGCTCCTGGGTCCCTTCTCCGTAACCTGTAGGTCACAGGCTGACAATATTGTGGGATTATTTTACAAAGTGGGTTCTTAGGACAGGACAGACCTGTGTATTAGAGGTGAACTTCAGGATTTTGTTGTATGGGGTGATTTTTGCCATTCATGATTTAAACTATATAAACTATGAAATTAACTTATGTAAGCTGTGACACAAGGAACTGTCTTATTTTTATTTTAAAAAATGTGTGTTGCTTTAGGGAGTGCAGTACAGTTTTGATACATGGACATATTGCCTATTGATGAAATAGGGGCTTTCGGTGCATCCACCACTGGATAAGGTGCATGGTGACCATTAGGTAACTTATCATCCCCACACCTCCCACCCACCGTCCTTGTGAGGCTCCAGTGTCTGTCATTCCACACCCTGTATCCATGTACACACCAGCGTTGTTCAGCTCCTGCTTATAATTGAGAACATGTGGCATTTGACTTTCTGAGTTGTTTCACTTAAGACGATGGCCTCCAGTTCCATCCATGCTGCTACAGAAGACATGATTTCATTCTTTCGCATGGCTGAGTAGTACTTCACCTTCTCTTTATCCAGTCATCTGTTGATGGACACCTAGGTTGGTTCCATATGCGAGTGGTGCTGTGGTAAACGTGAGAGTGCAGGTATCTTTTTGGCAGAATGATTTCTTTCCCTTTGGGCAGATACCCAGCAGTGGGCTTGCTGAATTGAGTGGTAGATCTATTTTTAGTTCTTTGAGAAATCTCCATACTGTTTTCCATAGAGATTGTACTAATTTACACTCCCACCAACAGTGGGGAAGTGTTCCTTTTCTCTGCCTCTGGGCCAGCGCCTGGTTATTTTTTATCTTTTAATAATAGCCATTCTGACTGATGTAAAGTGATATCTCGTGATTTTAATTTGCATTTCTCTGAGGATTAGTGATGTTGAGCATTTTTTCATATGCTTACTGGCCATTTGTATGACTTCTTTTGAAAAGTGTCTCTTTGTGTCCTTTGCTTGCTTCTTTTTTGTTTTTTGAGTTGGAGTCTCACTCTGTCACCCAGACTGGAGTACAGTGGCCGCTCCCAGTCACTGCAGCCTCGATCTGCTGGGTCCGGTGATCCTTCTGCCTCAGTCTTCCAAGTAGCTGGAACTACAGGTGTGCACTACCATGCCCGGCTAATTTTTTGATTTATTGTAGAGATGAGGTCTCGCCAAGTTGTCTAGGTGGGTCTCGAACCCGCGGGCTCAGGCAATCCACTCACCTCAGCCTCCCAAAGCACGGGATTACAGGCTGAGCCACTGAGCCCGGCATATTTTTTTTTTTGTTGAGTTGGAATCTCACTCTGTTGCCCAGGCTGGAGTGCAGTGGCACACTCAGAACCACCGCCGCTTCGACCTGCTGGGCTCAGGCAATCCTTCCACCTTAGCCTTCCAAGTAGCTGGAACTACAGTTGCACACCACCATGCCCAGCTAATTTTTTTATTTTATTGTAGAGATGAGGTCTCGCCAAGTTGCCCAGGCTGGTCTCGAATCCCTGAGCTCAGGCAATCCTCTTACCTCTGCCTCTCAAAGTACTGGGTTTACAGGTGTGAGCCACTGTGCCCAGCTGCCCACTTTTTCGTGGAGTTTCTTGCTATTGTTGTTGTCTGAGTTTCTTGTAAAGGATATTAGTCCCCTGTCAGATGCATAGTTTGCAAATATTTCCTCCCATTCTGCAGTTTGTCTGTTCACTCTGTTGATTATTTCTTTTGCCGTGAGAAGCTTTTTAGTTTAATTCAGTCCTATTTGTCCATTTTTGCTTTCATTACATGTGCTTTTGAGGTCTCGTTATTAATTCTTTACCTCAGCCAATGACCTCGGTGTTTTCCCTGGGTTTTCTTTCAATATTTTTGTAGTTTCAGGTCCTACATTCAAGTCTTTAATCCACTGGAGTTGGTTTTCACATATGCTGAGAGATGGGGGTCCATGTCATTCTTCTGCCTGTGGCTAACCAGTTTTCCCAGCACTGTTTATTGAAGAGAGTTTTTTCCCCAGTGTAAGTTCTGATTGACTTTGTTAAAGATCAACTGGCTGTAGAGATGCAGCCTTATTTCTGGGCTCTCTGTTCTGAGGAACTATTTTTTAAAGGGCTTCTCCAAACTGCTTGGTAGTTATTGCTGAAGATAGCAGTGGGAGATTTTTTTTAACTTAAGAAGAATTACAGACAGTTTTTTATTTTTGCAGTTTATGGGTAACTTGTGTATTGATGAGTCGTGGAGGTTTTCTTGTCTCTTTTCCCTGAGACCCTGTCTTTATAAAAAAAAATAGGTCGGGTGCTGTGGCTCATTCCTTTAATCCCAGCACTCTGGGAGGCAGAGGCAAGAGGATTGCTTGAATCCAGAGGTTCGAGACCAGCCTGAACAATATGGCAAGACCTCATCTCTACAATAAATAAAAAAATTAGCTGGGTGTGGTGGCATGCACCTGTGGTTCCAGCTACTTGGAAGACTGAGGCAGAAGGATTGCCTGAGCCCAGCAGGTTGAGGCTATGGTAGCTGTGAGTGTGCCATTGCACTTCAGCCTGGGTGACAGAGTGAGACTCTGACTCAAAAAAAGAAAAAAAATTAGCCAGTCAGGGTGGCACATGCCTATAGTCCCAGCTACTTGGGAGGCTGAGGTGAGAGGATCCCTGGAGCCTAGGAGGTTGAGGCTGTAGTGAGCTATGATTGTGCCACTGCACTCCAGCCTGGGTGACCCTAGCTCAGCCAATCAATCAGCCAGTTAAAGGCTTCTGTCCCTCTGTATGGCCTTCTCTCCTGCAAGAGTAACTGTGGTCCTGAGTGTTGTGTGGGTTTTCTAAACAGGTAATTTTCGTGCATTTCTTTTTCCTGTTATTAATGATAGTTTCCTGGACACTGTTGTTCTTCCGGGTTTTAAACTTTATCTAAATGCCACCTGACATGAATACTTCACAACTTACTTTTTAAACTTACAGTCACCTGTGAGACTGGTCCTCACAGAACGAGGAAGCCCCATGCTGTGGACCAGGGCTGTGTTGCATCCATTCTGTGGGGGATGCCATTTGTCTACTCATCGCCCCAGTAGTGGGCAGCCAAGTCTTTCTCACCGTTTGCCGTCCTAAGCAATGCTTACTATAAACACTCATTTCCACACATTTCTCCTCACTCCAAGCTTAGGCTAGCAGTTTCCAGAAGACTGATGGTGAGAATGCCAGAGCAGATCTCTCCTTGTTTTAGTGAATTAAGTGTTGGCAGATGTCTAAAGAGATCCCTTTGCTGAATACAGATTTTGGTTGAGGGAGGGGAGGAAGTGGGTCGTGGACGTGACCGTGGCTCACTGTCCTCCTAAGTCACCATGAAAACCATCCCCAGGCACCCGCCAGAGAAGTCTCTGCTGCCATCTGGCCCTTCAGGTTCGGCTACGACAATGAAGGATGGTCTAACTTGGAGAGATCAGCTCGCCTGCTCCGTCAAACAGGTAAGTCACTGGCATTAGCTCCAGGTTGCCTGAAGCTGCTGTTGTTACTTGTATTTCCAGCAGGACCACAAGTAGTGGGAGGAAGGCTTTCTGGCCTGAAGTGAGTCTCTTGAAAAGGCTCCCAAAGGTGCGGAATTATAGGCTGAGCCTGAGGTGAGTGGATTGCCTGAGCCCACAGGTTCGAGACCCGCCTGGGCAGGCGAGACCTCATCTCTACAGTAAAATCAAAAATTGAGCTGGGTGTGGTAGCGCGCGCCTGTAATTCCGGCTACTCGGAAGGCTGAGGCGGAAGGATCGCCAGAGCCCAGCAGGTCGAGGCTGCGGTGGTCGGGAGCGGCCACCACACTCCAGTCTGGGCGACAGAGTGAGACTCCAACTCAAAAAAAAAAAAAAAAAAAAAAAGAAAAGAAAAGGCTCTTTGTTGGGCAGTGGCAGGGAGACTGAGCTTTTGTGGTGGCTATGTTGAGAACAAATTAATTCAGTTGATTCTGAACAACACCTCTGACTGGGTATCTGCAGGGGCTTCTTGTCAAGCCTTGTCACTTGAAGATCAGAAAACTGTTTGGTTAGAAAGAAGGCAGAATGAGCCAGGCACACTGGCACATGCCTGTAATCCCAGCACTTTGGGAGGCCAAGATGGGAGGATCTCTTGAAGCCAGGAGTTAGACCAACCTGGGCAACATAGCAAGGCCCCGCCTCTAAAAAGCCAGCTGAACGTGGTGATGTGCACCTGTAGTTCCAGCTACTCGAGGCTGAGGCAGGAGGATTGCTTGAGCCTAGGAGTTGGAGGCTGCAGTGAGCTATGATCTCACTGCTGCACTCCAGCCTGGGTGACAGAGCAAGACCCTGTCTCCAAAAATAAAACAAAATGAAGGGCAGAATGGGTTCGGAGGAGGATGATTTGTGAAGCAAATTGCTTTCAAGAGCGCAAGGGCCACATTTTATCGTGTTCTGGGAGGCTTGTCTTTGCATGTCTTTTTAGTGCGGGGGAGTTTGATTCCTGGCTCAACTCCAGGAGAATAGAGCAAGGTAAGTGAATGCTGGAGTGTGGCAGTCGTTCCTCATGACCAGCACGCCTCCTGGTGGCTTCGGAGTGTCTGTATGAAGGGAATGCCAGCAGGAGGTTCTCTGGGGCCAGGTGCAGTGGAGAGAGGGGGAGGAGGAGGAGGGAGAGGGGGAGAGACTCTGGCCTGAGTCCTTGGTAGTCCTACTGACAGGCCTTTGAGGCACATGTGGCCAGGGTCTAGAAAAGCCAGTGAATTCACTTCTGTGCCAATACCGTGGAGCTGTGTGCCCTGGAATAAAATGCCGTTGTGCACCGTGCTGTTGTTTCTAAACATGAATTGGATATTTGAGAAAGGCATTAGGGGCATTTGAAATCTGGGGAAAGATGTTAAGAATATTCGAAAATTCAGAAGAGTTATGCTTCCATCCTTCCCAGTACTTCTGAGAGCTGTTCTGTGTTTTAATTCCACCCAAAACATGGAAAAACCCCCTTAAAGTTCAGATTTGAACCACTCCCCCTTAGTTATTTGTTACTTTGTTTTGGGGTTTATCAGTAAAGGCGAGAAGGTCAAGGGTCGAGAATGATTATGACTGACTGCATGTTGCCTGTTGTGGTTGATCGCTGTGTACTTTCTGCTCTAAACAGGTGCAGATTTCATAACAATCCTGGAGAGTGATGCTTCCAAGCCCTACATGGGGAACAACGACTTGACCATGTGGCTTGGGGAGAGGTTGGGTTTCTACACAGACTTTGGTCCAAGTACGAGGGACCACACTTGGGGGTGAGTGCACTGTGGGAGCCATCCAGAGCACGAGGCTTGGAGGGAGGCTTGGCTGCTGGAGGGAAGCTTGGCCGCTGGCTGTCTCCGTCCTGTGAATACATGCTGGGGTGCTTCCCAGGCACTGGGGAGTTACCACAGATGTGCCCACCCTGTAATTTTCTCCTGCTGGTTTTTCCAGTTCTTTGCTGTGATAAACCAGAAACCGATACCCAGGAGCCGAGGATGAGGATGCAGCACCTATATGTTTGACGTGGGTGCCAACCTCATAGAGCTTACTGTCTAGTGTAAGGAGACACAAAGAGAGGATACGGTGATTTGAAATGTGATGAGTGCTATGTAGAAACAAGCTATAAGAGTGAGAGTGACTGGATGGGCAGGGCCTGAGGGGGGCTGCTGCAGGCAGGTGGTCAGGAAGGCCTCTCCGAGGACACCGTAAAGAGAAGGACCCAAGATCAGCCTCCAGAAGAGCTGAGGGAACAGCTAGGGTAAAGACTGAGGCAGATCTGGCCAGGCACAGTGGCTCACGCCTGTAGTCCTAGCACTTTGGGGGGCTGAGACAGAAGGATCCCTTGAGCCCAGGAGTTTGAGACCAGCCTGGGCAACATAGTGAGACCTTGTCTCTACAAAAAAATCAAAAAATTGGCTAAGCATGGTGGTGCATGCCTGAAGTCCCAGCTAGCTGGGAGGCTGAGGTGGAAGGATCTCTTGAACCCGGAGGTCAAGGCTGCGGTGAGCTGTGATTGTGCCACTCCACTCCAGCTTGGGTGATGGAATGAGAACCCAACTCAAAGAAAAAGAAAAAAGATCGAGGCAGGATCACCCTGGTATGCCTGGGGAGTTAGGGATCAAGAGACAGAGTCCAGGTGGGCACCTGTCCACAAAAGGCCCCGCATTGCTTAGGTGGGATGAGAGAACGGGGGCATCCGAGACAGGGGAGTGATCAGGGAGGTTGCCGGGGCAAGAGTGAGGGCCAGGAGCCAGGTGAGGATGGGTGTGCAGCATAGGTGTGAGGTGGCAGCAGGGACAGGAGAGGACAGAAGAGGGCAGATCCAGGGCTCTTGGAATGGAGCTGGCAGGACCTTCTGCTGGCTTAGACAGCAGGGGCAGGCAGAGGTGGGGGGAGTCAGGGCGACGTCCTGGACCTCGAGATGGGGCCACGTAACGGGGCAGGCCCCGGGAGGGCAACAGGCTCATGTCAAGTGTGAGATGTTCCAAGATGGCCAGGTGCCACCCGGCAGGTTGTATGTGGGGTCCAAAGCTGCTCAGGGCAGGCCAGGCTGGGCATGAGCCTTGGGGACCATTGAACTGAGTGGGGCCTGTCAGTGGGACTCTGGGAGGTGGCAGAGTGAGCATGGCAGTGGGAGGGGTGGCCCACTGAGGCCAGACTCACTTGCCCTCCCTGGGGCTCTTCGACTTGGCGGGTGGTGCCCGCTCGCCGCTTAGTGGACAGGGCCTCGCTTCTCATGTGTGGATTGCTCCTCCATGTCCTTGCTGGCCAGACAAGGCGCCTTCCCCCATGTGTTTATTCGCGTGAGAACGGTTGATGCAGACATGTTGTCAGAGTAACAAGTGACACGCTGTGCGTTGCCAAGCCCACCCATTCATCCCTCCCCAGCACTCACCAAGGCAGAGCGGGTGGCATTGTGCTTGGTAACCCAGTGGGCTGCACTGACCGGCAGAGGTTCCCCGATCCACCAGATGCCCTGCAAAAGTCCTTTGTTGGCTGTGTGTCCTGGGATACATCCCTTTTTAAATTTGAGTTGGGGTCTCACTTTGGCACCCAGGCTGGAGTGCCGTGGCATGATCATGTCTCTCCATAGCCACCACCTCCTGGGCTAAGGCAATTCTTCTTTCTGCTTCAGCCTCCCAAGTAGCTGGGACTATAGGAGTGTGTCACCATGCCCAGCCAATTTATTTATTTTTTAATTAATAGATCAATTCACTCATTTATTGATTTGATTTGGGGTCTTACTCTGTGGCCAAGGCTGGAATGCAGTGGCACCATCACAGCTCACCGCAGCCTCCACCTCCTGGGCTCAGGCAATTCTTCTTTCTGCCTTAGCTTCCCAAGTAACTGGGACTATAGGTGTATGCCACCATGCCTGGCTAATTTTTTGATTTTTTTTTTTTTTTTTTTTGTAGAGATGAGGTCTCGCTGTGTTGCCCAGGCTGGTCTCAAACTCCTGGGCTCAAGCAATCCTCCTGCCTCAGCCTCCCAAAGTGCTGGATGACAGGCGTGAGCCGCTATACCCAACTGTTTGTAATTCATCTGCTGGGTCCAGTGCTGACATGGTGGGATGGGCAGTGACTCCAGTGCTTCTTTGCCCCCCAACAGGATTATGGCTTTGTCCAGATACCCGATCATGAAGTCGGAGCACCACCTCCTCCCGTCACCAGAGGGAGAGATCGCACCAGCCATCACTCTGACCGTGAACGTCTCGGGCAAGCTGGTGGACTTCGTGGTGACACACTTTGGGAATTATGAGTGGGTTTCTTTGGTCTCTCTAATGTCTCACAAATGCCAAGAGACATTACTGTTTACTTCAATGTCTCTGAAATAACACTTCTTACTTTCTTCTTCTTTATTTCCCAAAGTATTTTTCCCTGTGTTGCTGACTTTAAAAATCAGGCATAGAAGCAGGCCAGGCACAGTGGCTCATGCCTGTCATCCCAGCACTTTGGGAGGCCAAAGTAGGAGGATGACCTGAGCCCAGGAGTTTGAGACCAGCCTGGGCAACATAGCAAGAGCTCATCTCTACAAAAAACCAGAAAATTAGCTGGGCGTGGTAGTACACACCTCTAGTCTTGGCTACTTGGGAGACTGAGGTGGGAGGATTGCCTGAGCCCATGAGGTCAAGGCTGTGGTGAACCATGATCACGCCACTGCACCCCAGCCTGGGAGACCGAGTGAGACTCCGACTCAGAAACAAAACAAGACAATTCAGGTGTTGGAACAGTTGGGTTGCAGGCCATCCTTAAGGTTGGCCACTGAGTTGTACCATCATTCTTTGTGCAGGGGCAGCCACAGGCATCATTGTGTTTAATCCTCACTCTGTCTAAGGCAAGCACTCCTGCAGCCCCATTTTACAGGTAGAGTAAGTTGACTGAGAGGCTCGGTGACTTGTCCCACCAGGAACACCCAGTGGGGAAGCCGGCAGACCCAGCTCAGAGCTGTGAGTGCTTGGACCCCCAGGAAACCAGACCTCAGGAACATGGATCCCCTTCCCGCAGGATGACTACTTCCATGGACATACTGTTGGTGTTGACGGTGTCGAGGGACTTTCCTTCCTTCTTGTGTTTCCACAAACACCTGATAGGTGGGCCGGGAGCCCGGCAGAGATCAAAACATCCCCTTGACATGGCTGAGCCTGTCAGGTCCCCATAGCTCAGATGCTCATATGGGCCTGCTGATGCGCTCCCCCAGATGGGAGTCCCACCAATCCTTCTCCATCAAGCTCTCCCCTTGCCGGAAGGAAGGAACAGGACAGAACCCACCCCATCTGCACACTGGCAGACAAGGAGAGAGAGGGAGTTGCTGAGACAGGCATGCCCAGTTCGTTCTTTCACACTTAAAGAATTAGAAGATCCCCCCCCAAAACTGAAGGACAGGGAGAGAGCCCAGCTATGGCTTCCTAAGAAGTCCCCCTTCCAGGGCAGAATGGAGAATGAGCTCTACCCCTCAAGAATAATGCTCATCCCCAGTGACTTAGTACTGAATAAAGCATGAGCCATCCGGCCCGGCGCGGTGGCTCAAGCCTGTAATCCCATCACTTAGGGAGGCTGAGGGGAGTGGATTGCCTGAGCCCATGGGTTCGAGACCAGTCTGGGCAATTTGGCAAGACCTTATCCCTACACTAAATAAAAAATTAGTTGGGTGTGGTAGCACGTGCCTGTAGTTCTGGCTGAGGCAGAAAGATCACGAGCCCAGCAGGTCAATGCTGGGGTGTCCCTGAGTGTGCCACTGCACTCCAGCCTGGGCGACAGAGCGAGATTCTGACTCAAAAAAACAAATAAACAAACCATGAGCCATCCATCGATTTATAGTAAAAGCACCCCATTTATACTCTACCTTAGTAAACCATAAGAACTTAAAGTATAACCAGCCTAGGTGACACAGTGAGACCTCATCTCTCCAAAAAAAAAAAAAAATTAGCCAGGCACGGTAGCATGCACCTGTATTCCTGGCTGCTTAGGAGCCTGAGGTGGAAGGATCACCTGTGCCCAGTAGGTTGAGGCTGCGGTGAGCGTGATTGTGCCACTGTGCTCCAAACTGGACAGCAGAGTAAGATCCTGACTCAAAAAAAGAAACAAAAACAAGCAACTACTAAAAGTATTTAAAGCACAAAAAATTTAAGAGCCATGTGCTGTAAGAGAGGCATACAGGCCAGGTGCAGTGGCTCAAGCTTGTCATCCCAGCACTTTGGGAGGCCAAGGTAAGAGGATTGCCTGATCCCACGGGTTTGAGACCAGCCCGGGCAACTTGGTGAGACTTCATCTCTACAATAAATCAAAAAATTAGCTGGGCATGGTAGCATGCCTCTGTAGTTCTGGCTACTTGGAAGGCTGAAGTGGAAGGATCGCCTGAGCCCAGCAGGTTGACGCTGGGGTGGCCACCACTGAAGTGGCCACCGCTGGGGTGGCCGTGAACATGCCACTGTACTCCAGCCTGGGTGACGGAGTGAGACTCCAACTTAAAAAAAAAAAAAAAAAGCATACAGGCCCTGGCCACATTAGTGACCTAAGAGGCCATAGAACTTAGAAGTGACATGCAGAATGTTAGGAAAACAGCATTGTGGTACTATAAGTTTTACTTAAAAGCAACATGTCTGCCACCCTGGTTCTTGGATTACGTCACTTTGCTCACAGTATGATGTGGATCTGTGGATGCCTATTTTTATATTTTCTCAAATAAGTCAGAGTGGAAGTAACAAAAATCGACCCACACATACAGTGACCATGAACTACCTATGAATGAGACTCTCATTCATCTGCTCAGAAATAAAAAGGTGCTTGGAAGATGGGTAACATAGGAGGTTCCTGTCTCTTTAAAGAGCTGTTTGAGGCTGGGTGCAATACTCACGCCTATAATCCCAGCACTTTGGGAGGCTAAGGCAGGAGGATCACTTGAGCCCAGGAGGTCGAGACCAGCCTGGGCAACATAACAAGACCTCATCAATAAAAAAATCAGAAAATTAAGCATGGTGGTATGCACCTGTAGTCCCAGCTACTCGGGAGGCTGAGGCGGGAGGATCGCCTGAGTCCAGGAGGTCAAGCCTATGGTAAACTGTGATCATGACATTGCATGCCAGCCTGGGTGACAGAGTGAGACCCTGACTCAAAAAAAAAAAAAAAAGCAGTTTGGAGAAACGCCTTCTGGTTCCCTGCAATTCTCAGGTAGCAAGCACTGCACCAAAATGTATGTAGACCTTCATTGCACTTGAATTGGGTTTACTTTAGAAGATAGCTACCCTCATGCAGCTTCAGTCTAAGAAACACTTGCATCTCTCCTTCCTTTTTCTCCTTTGCTTCCTCCTCCCTGCCCCTTAAGCCTCTCCGACCTCTCCTGGGATGTAACTAGATTTGTGGGGGGGCAGTGTCCTCTCCATGCTGACTGTGAACCCATTTTTAGAGCTCTGATGAACATGTGTCCTTACTTGCTGTTTTCCTCTTTGTTTTAGTGTGTTTGTTTTCGTTTTGTTTTGTTTTGAGTCAAAGTCTCACTCTGTCACCTAGGAGTGCAGTGGCACGCTCACGGCCACCCCAGCATCAACCTGTTGCACTCAGGCAATCCTTCCACTTCAGCCTTCCAAGTAGCCAGAACTACGGGCGCGTGCTACCACGCCCGGCTAATTTTGATTTATTGTAGAGACGAGGTCTCGCCAATTTGCCGGGGCTGGTCTTGAACCCGCGGGCTCAGGCAATCCACTTGCCTCAGCCTCCCAAAGTGCTGGGATTACAGGCTGAGCCACTGAGCCCGACCCTTTGTTTTATTTTGTTTTGTTTTGAGTCGGGGTCTCTGTTGCCCACGCTGGAGTGCAGTGGCACAATCATGGCTCCTGGCAGCCTCAACCGCCTGGGCTTCGATGATCCTTCCACCCAAGTAGCTGGGACTATAGGAATGCACCACCATGCCCAGCTAATTTAAAAATTTTTTTTAGAGACGAGTTCTCACTGTGTTGCCCAGGCTGGTCTCAAACTCCTGGACTCAGGCAGTCATCCCATCTCGGCCTCCCAAAGTGCTGGGATGACAGGCTTGAGTCATCACACCCAGCCTGTCTTCCTCATTTGACTTAATAATAATGAGAAAACAATAGCAGTAGTAGTAATAGCAGACACTTAATTGAAGATACGGAGCCAGGGAGGAAAGCAGTATGGCTTAACAGTTAAGACCACAAGGTCTTCATCTGTGTATCAGGGGCAGTAGTTTGGCTATTTCATAGGGTCTTGTGAGCATTAATTTTTATTTTCTTTTTTTTTTGAGTTGGAGTCTCACTCTGTCGCCCAGACTGGAGTGCAGTGGCCGTTCCTGCCCACTGCAGCCTCGACCTTTCTGGGCTCCGGTGATCCTTTCGCCTCAGCCTTCCAAGTAGCTGGAACTACAGGTGTGCGCTACCACGCCCGGCTAATTTTTGATTTATTGTAGAGATGAGGTCTCGCCAAGTTGCTCAGGTGGGTCTTGAACCTGCGGGCTCAGGCAATCCACTCACCTCGGCCTCCCAAAGTGCTGGGATTATAGGCTGAGCCACCGAGCCCGGGCTGTTTTTCTTATTTGTAGAGGCGGGGTCTCTTTCTGTTGCCCAGGCTGGAGTTCAGTGGCACCGTCGCAGCTCACCACAGCCTTGACCTCCTGGGCTCAGGCAATCCTCTTGGCTCAGCCTCCCAAGTAACTGGAACTATAGACACATGCCACCATGCCCAGCTATATTATTTATTTTTTGTAGAAACAGAGTCTTGTTATGTTGCCCAGGCTGGTCTCGAACTCCCGGCCTCAAATGATCCTCCTGTCTCAACCTCTTAGAGTGCTGGGATTACTGTTGTGAGCTACCATACTCAGCCTGGGTTAAATAAGATATAGTACTTCATGCAAAATACATGAGTATAGTGTGTGCTCAATTAATAGTGACCATTGTTAATCCAAATCAGACACCTGTACATATAAGGTGTATCAGGCAGCTTAAGAAAGAAGTCTTTGCCAGGTGCAGTGGCTCACGCCGTAATCCCAGCACTTTGGGAGGCCAAGGCAAGAGGACTGCCTGATCCCAGGGGTTCGAGACCAGCCTGGGCAACTTGGCGAGACCTTGTCTCTACAATAAAAAGATTAGCTGGGCATGGTGGCTTGTGCCTGTAGTCTCAGCTACTCGGGAGGCTGAGGCAGAAGAATCGCCTGAGCCCAGCAGATTAGGGCTGCAGTGAGCCGTGATCATGCCTCTGCACTCCACCTGGGCAACAGAGTGAGACTCGAACCCCTGCACCCCAAAACAAAAAAGTCATTCATCAAACATCAGGCATCTGCCACGTCCCAGGCCAGTCTAGACCCAGCCTTTGCCTTGGGAACCACCACCCCGAGTCACCCCCAGATGCAGCATCCCAGAACCCTGTGGCCTCCCAGCAAGTGGCACAGGGAGACTGGCCTCTTGAGTACCACGTGAAGCCATCATTACATATTTTGTTTTCCTTTGTTTCCTACAATACTAGATGCAAAAATTCTCTACCGTGAGTAAATATTTGGAGACTCCATTTCCAATGATGGTGATGGCGTACAAATGTGGAAATCCTATTAGGAATGCGTTACAGGATGCTTTGCGTGTTATTCGCTGATTCAACAAGATTGTGTTAATTGCCAACCGAACAAATAGCTCTCTTACAACCAATAAATAGGAGAGAGCAGCATTTCTCAGAAGTCATTTAGGTAAACACTATATCGAAAATTGACATTACTTTAGGTAATTAACAGAACCATCAGTTGATTGCCATTAAAAAAAAATAGAAGCCCTATGTCAAGCATTCTGGACCAAGAAGAAAGTACGTAGACCCTGTAGTCTGGAGACATGTGTCCTGGTCTTCGTTCTAGCTTGGGGTAACCTCAATGAGTGCCAGGTCTCATGTCTCCAGAAATGGGATAAAATTATCTTTTCCAGCCCACTTTAGAGGATTGTTGGATGGTTGAGTGTAAACAGGTAAGGAAACATACAACGTGCACATGTTCTCTCTCCCCCCCCCTCTCCCCTCTCTCTCTCTCTCTCTCTCTCTCTCTCTCGTACTCTCTCGCCCTCTCTCCCCACCCCTCGCCTCTGCCTTCCCCCCGCCACCCACATACATATACTTTTTGATTACTGTCACTAGATAAGGTTGATCTCCTGAGGAAATGTAAAACCAAATTCACAGACTACTTTCCAGTGATTCATTACCAAATCTGTGTGAACAAAAACACTGTCCATGGTGTGGTGGCTTTGGAATTCTCCAGAGCTGCATCTGGACCCTAGCCTCATGTGTCAGAAGGGATAGAACTCTCGGTAGACCCGAGGAAAGGACACCTCCCCAAGACGCTGGGAGGGTCCAGGAAACAGATAAGGGAGGTCAAGGTGCTCAGACACTGGAGAATCACTGTGACCAGAGGCTGACAGGACAGGCAGAGCAAGAGCATTCCCGAGTCCAGGAGGTCAGGAGCCAGGTCAGGGGCCACTTGGCCTGAGGGGTGGGGAGACATGCCCAGCCTCACCCTCCTCCCACCTCTCCCCTCCTGCTGGGGCCTCCACTTGGCCAAGCCTAACAGGAACCCAGGAGTTGGAGTCTGCAGGGTCCACTTTGCCAGGCATAAGAGAAGCAGGGTATGGATCAGGGCTGGGAGACGACGAATGACCATGGACCTGTGGTTACTTACCCACATTTAAAATAGAACTAAATAGGCCAAGCGCGGTGGCTCATGCCTGTAATCCCAGCACTTTGGGAGGCAGAGGAGGGAGGATCGTTTGAGCTCAGGAGTTCAAGACCAGCCTGGACAACATTGTGAGACCTCGTCTCTACAAAAAATCAGAAAGATTAACCAGGCATGGTGGCACGTGCCTGTATTCTCAGCTACTCTGGAGACTGAGGAGGGAGGATCGCTTGCCCAGGATGTTGAGGCCACAGTGAGTCATGATCGTACCACTGCACTCCAGGCTGGATGACAGAGTGAGACCTCAACTCAAAAATAAATGAATACATACATACATACATACATACATAAAAAATAAATGAAATGGTGGCTTCTGGCTTCTGGGTGGGTTTAACCAGTGGGAGACACCCACAAAAGGCCGGGACAGGAAGTAGAGAAGCCAGGCCATTTCTCATCCTCTGCTTCCTCTGGGATCTCTGGCCACAGTGATGTCTCTCCTGCAGTTCCACTTCCTTGCTGGATGGTCCCAGCTCCTCCCGGGAAGCCTTCCCTGTGCCACTGGCCATTGCTGCCTATGGACTGTGGCAGTCTCACCTCCTCTTGTCCCTACAGCCCCAGAGGTGGTTTTTCACTGACTCTGATTGGCTCATGGACCCGTTGGGCTTCCTGTCACCTAAGCAGCCAGCTCCCTCTGTTAAATTCACTGTGTTTGACACACCTGGCATGTTTCCGTGTTCCTGGCTGGAACATTTAAAACATAGTGTCATAGTGTCCTGTTTTGCCCCAAACAGGCAGACTGTAGGCCCCCCAAAAGCTTGGTGTCCCTGACTGATTATCTAGGTTATATGTCTACAGCATTTTGCATAATAAAACCACCATGTTAAACCAGGATTTGAGCAGAAGCCAAGGAGGCTTTCAGAAAGTGGTTGGCCAAGTGATTGGGTTGTTATGAAGCCCAACGTCCTCTCAGAATGTTAGGATTCTCCTTACCAGTGTTCCTGAAATTTTTTTTTAAATGACTAGTTCTTTAGCTGTAATGCTGACGATGAGGTCTCACATTATTGATATAGTTTCTTCTGATGACAAGTTGAACAAATGCTGTATTTAGAGTAGATGTTGAAACCAACTTGACTCCAGATGATTCGTGGAGAGAGGTTAAGGTCTTGGTCAAAAAGGTTGGTCAGCCTCCTCAGCTGAATGAAGCGTTACATCTAGGTCTCGTTCATTTGCAAAACGTTAAGACATTTGCCCGAGCAGGAATGATTCTGGGTTTGTATACTGTGTGAAGATAGTCTTTGGAAACTTAGGTATCTAAGTTTTTTGAGGTTTTTTTTTTGAGTCGGAGTCTCACTCTGTCGCCCAGGCAGGAGGACAGTGGCACACTCACAGCCACCCCAGTGTTGACCTGCTGGGCTCTGGTGATCCTTCTGCCTCAGCCTTCCAAGTAGCCAGAACTACAGGCACGTGCTACCATGCCCAGCTAATTTTTGACTTATTGTAGAGATGAGGTCTCGCCAAGTTGCCCAGGCTGGTCTCGAACCCATGGGCTCAGGCAATCCACCCACCTCGGCCTCCCAAAGTGCTGGGACTACAGGCTGAGCCACTGAGCCCAGCCAGGTATCTAAATATTTAAAAACTTGTTTTGCAAATACAAGAAAGTGGTATATGTTTGCTTTTTTTTTTTTTTTTTTAGAGATGATCTTGACAGAAAACTTCAGGCTCTTGCTGTTTCGAAACTACTGAGAAACAGCTCTGATCGGGTGATATTTCTGGGATATATCACTTCAGAACCTGGTTCCCGAGATTATCTACAGCTCACTGAACATGGCAATGTGAAGGTAAGATCATCTTCATAGAATTTCTGATTTATTAAGCAAAATGCTTCTTTTTCTTTCATGTTTTAAAAAAGACCCAACTAGCCGGGCACAGTAGCTCACACCTGTAATCCTAGCACTTTGGGAGGCTGAGGCAAGAGGATTGCTTGAGCCCAGGAGTTTGAGACCAGCCTGAGAAACATAGTGAGACCTCATCTAAAAAAAAAGTAAAAACAAAAACAAAAACAGACCCAACATAACCCCAACAATCTAATATAGCATCAAAAATTCCCAGAAAACTACTGGCTGAAAACAATAGCAGTTATTTGTTTGCTCACAGATCTGCAACTTTGGAGAGGGCTCAATGAGCACAGCTCACCTCTGCTCCATGCAGAGTCAGTAAAGGGCTCAACTGAGGACTGGAGGGGCTACTTATAGATGGCTCACTGGCAGCGAGCTGGCACTCTGGGTTTGGGATGCTGGTTCCTCTCTGTGGGTAGTTGGGCTTCCTCCCTTGATGGCGGTGGGCTTCCCATGGTGGGAAAAGCCTGTATTGCTCTGTATGACTTAGCCTCATAAGTCACAGGATGTCACTTCTGCTGTCGTAACATGTCTGATCCCATTCAGCTGGAAGAAGCATAAGCCCCACCTCATGAAGGGAGGAGTGTCAGAGTCACATTGTAAGAGTTGTACATGGAAGGGAAAGTGAGAGCTGGTGTGGCTATGTTTAGAGAATGCAGTCGACCACATCATGAAAGTCAGTGGTGAAGCTGGGAGTAAGAGACAAAATGAAATGTTACAGAGAGAGGATGATGGATCAGCCAGACAGGCCATGCTGGTGACATTGAATTGGTCATCGCCTTTTCTGATCTGTGAGTTTCCTTAGATGCAGTCACCCTCAAGAACTGAAACTTAGATCCTCAGGAAGCTAGTGTACATGCCAGGATGCTGAATGAATTAATTTGTAATAGAAATAGGATTGCTGCATTGTACCCGAATCCTGAATCCGAGAGACCACCAAAGAGCCAGCTCCAATGCAAATCACACAAGGGTCTTTATTCAGACTCGAGTCTGGGCTCACGTTCATAACCGGTGCAGCGGTACAGGAACGAGAGCCCCAACCCAGCGCAGCAAGCAGCTTATATACACAGTTACAAGGGAGAGGAAAGAACTTTAAACTTGTTCACACATGATTGGGTAATTTTTTCTGATGGGTACGGGGGCGTTTGGGATTGGTTGGTTTGTATGGTCGTGGGTCGCGGCTGACCGCAGTTGACCATCAAAGGTCAGGCGGGCTGGGTGGAATCGGTTGGGACATCTGGAATGTGAGATTACTAGGGGAGTGGGGCAGGAAATGGGGCCAGAGGGTCTGCACAATGACTCCGTGGTTTTCTTTTGGTATGTGAACTTGTTTACCAAAAGTATACTACTGGGCTTGGGCGGGAAAGCAAGCATACATCTGAGTTTTAAAAACAAGTTTCAATATACATTCAGAATAAGCTTCAACCTACACTTAAAACAAGTTTTACCACACAATTATGAACTAGATAGCCTTTGAGCTCCTCATTTCCCCCTCTCAGAGGAACCTGAAAAAGGGACCCAATCATGGGTCTATACAAGTGTTTTGAGTGTGGGCGCCTACCGGCTGGTACTGCTATCTGAGCACCATAAGTTGTACGGTGCTGATCCGGTCCTTGACAAAGGCTACAAGTTTGCTAACAATGCAAGACCCAAAGGTGAGAAGGAGTAGCAAAATGATTAGAGGGCCAGCTAAGGTGGATACTAGAGTAGTTAGCCAGGGGGAGTGGTTAAACCAGGTTTCGAACCAACTTTGTTGTTGTTCTCATTCTTTTTTCCGTTTAGCCAATCCTTCCCTTACTTTGGCCATGGACTCCTTGACAACGCCTGAGTGGTCTGTGTAGAAACAACATTCCTCCCCCAGGGCGGCACATGTTTCACCCTGCTGTAGGAATAATAAGTCTAGCCCTCTACGGTTCTGTAGGACTACCTCGGATAGGGAGGTTAGGGATTCCTGGAGATGGGAGATGGAGGCTTCAATTCTTTCAATGTCTAGGTCTATGGCCACCCTTAGGCTATTATATTGGTGGCTCTATTATATTGTGGCTAGGGAGGCAATACCTGTCCCTGCTCCTGTTAGTCTGAGCCCAAAGAGGACCGCCAGGGAAATGGCAGTGATCGGTTCTCTTTTATTTCTCCGGTGGGCTTCTGTGCTGAACCACCGGAGTATGTCTTCATCAGAGTGGTAGAGAACTTTTGGAAGTAATTGGACTAGCACGCAGAATCCTTGTTGGGTCTGATTTAGGACCTGCCCGTGGAAGCAAGGGGTTAAGCCTGTAGAACAGGTCCACCAGCTACTTTCAGGGGGCAGGTGGTAATCTAGGCTAGATACAGGTAGCATAATGTTGCATAGGGACTGAAACTCTGGTGCGGGGCGGCCTATGCATAATCCTTGGCCTGTTACCGACTGGAGAGCGAGTCCCTGGGTTGCTGGCTGCCATCTACAAGAAGTGGAATCATGCTTGGTTGTATAGTTTCCCATTACTGCAATTCCTTTATAATAGGGGGGCTGGATGTTATAACATAACCAGCATGACTGAGTGAATTCTGGTTTGGTTGCGTTAAGAAACAGGTAGGCTTGATTTAGCAAGTGCCAGAGAGGATGTTGGTACAGTACCGGTGGGGGTGGGGTGGAGTCAGAGATAAGTATATTGGCCCCTATGGAGTTGGGGACAACTGTAGTGGCTTCAGAATCTGTATAAGCGGTAGCTAAGAGGGTAGATGTGGTGGTCTGGGGCCTGAGGTTTGGTATAACAACTGGTCTGTGTTTAGGTGCTAGAGCTGGATTTGGTCCCATGCTGAGTGTTTTTTGACTGGGGGTTCGAGAGGTTACTCTAATCATAAAGGAACTTCCGGGATCCGTATACCCTGTGCGCTGCAAGTTGTACAATCTGAGTCCCCACGTTTTTCCTATTTCCCAGCCTTGAGCTTTTCTGCCCTTTTCGGTAAAGCTTATAGTTATGGGGTTGCAGCGCTGCCCCTGGGTAGGATTACATCTTTGATGGATGTTGGGGGTACCTCCCCTCTGTACCTTTATCAAATCATTGGACTTAGCAGGGCTCCAATTTATGAACCCCGAAGAGATGCAGGACCAGCTGGGACAATAGTACTCAGTGACATCTCTACAGTTCTTATCTTTGTCATGACCCAGGCACACATAAAAGTACCAGTACCTTCCGTCAGTGCCTCCATGGGTTAATTTCCATTGTATGGCGGCAGTATGGTAGAACTGTGTTAAGTCCCTGGTCATGGTTGGGAACCATGTGTTGCGGGGGAGCCTGCCAGATGATGTCGTTAGTGGAGAGGTCTATAACCTGCCATGTTAGATTTTGGGGCTGGTGTGGGTTCAGGTTGGCTATGACACTACATAGAAAACACAATATATATAATATTAGCGTTATGGGGGTAAGTGAGAGCGGCGCAATCTTAGCTTTAGGGGATTGTCCTGTCCGGCATGCTTTTCCAGTCTGGTACGTAGTCTTCCAACACAGCGAAGGGGTCTGCTGGCCGGACGTGGGTGTAGTAGACCCACGGGATGATTCCATCCACTTTGAGCGTGGTGGGTGTGGTCAGGATTACGACATAGGGTCCTTTTCAACGTGGCTGGAGCATCTGGTGTTGATGTCTACGGTTGTACACCCAGTCACCCGGGCGGTAGCGGTGTGGTTCCGGGGGTGGCCCGGTTTCGTAGAGGGCCTTTAATGCAGGCCACACCCGCTCATGTGCTTTTTGCAGTGCTTGCAAGGAAAAAAGGAGTTGTTGGTCATCAAATTCAACAAGTACTTCAGGTTTTAAATTTGGAACAATAGGTGGGGGAATGCCAAACATGATTTCAAAGGGCATGAGGCCCATTTTATAGGGAGAATTGTGCACCCTATATAGGGCAAAGGGGAGGAGAGCCACACAGTCCCCGCCAGTCTCCAGGGCTAATTTAGTTAAGGTCTCTTTTAACGTTTTATTCATGCGTTCTACCTGTCCTGAACTTTGGGGCCTGTATGCACACTGTAACTTCCAATCTGCCCCAAGAACCTGAGCTATTCCCTGTGTTACCTTAGAAACAAAACCTGGTCCATTGTCTGACCCTATTCAGACGGGGAAACCATACCTTGGCATAATGTCCTCCAGGAGTTTCTTTACCACTATTGGTGCTGTTTCATGTTTTATAGGAAATGCTTCAGTCCAGCCTGAAAAAGTGTCTATAAACACCAGTAAATACTTGTAACCATATTTTCCTGGTTTTATCTCAGTGAAGTCTACCTCCCAGTACGCTCCTGGCCTGTTACCTCGGAGTCTGGTTCCCGGGTTGGATTTGTGTGAAGAGGCATTTGTTACTTGACAAGCGTAGCACTTGGCCACGATCTGTTCAATTTTAGATTGCGAGTCTTTGATGATTATTTTAGCATGCCGTATCAAGTCTCCCAATTTTTTTGTTCCCATATGAGTACTTCTGTGTATTTTTATGAGGAGCTGTTGTCCTAATTTTTCTGGTAAGATTACACTGCAGTTCGCTGCCCTCTACCAGCCGTGCAAGTATTGTACCATAGGCTGGCGTTTGATCCAATTTAAGTCTTCTTCTGTGTATTTGGGGTCATCTGGCAACTCTGGTGCCCCTGAATCTGGTGGTGTAGTTACTAGGACATGATTTACAGACATGGCTGCCTCCTTTGCTTTTAGGTCAGCCAAGCGGTTTCCCCTGGCTACCGGCGTGTCCACTGTCTGGTGTCCTGGACAATGGATGATGGCTAATGCCTTAGGTAGCCAGAGGGCTTGTAGCAGCTCGAGGATTTCAGCTTTGTTTTTGATAGTTTTTCCTTCTGCCGTTAGGAGCCCCCTTTCTCTGTAAATGGCTCCATGTACATGAGCCGTGGCAAACGCATACCTGCTGTCCGTATAAATGTTTACCTGTTTGCCAGCTCCCATAGTCAGTGCTTTGGTTAGCGCCGCGATTAACTCAGCCTGTTGGGCAGAGGTTCCGGCCACTAATGGTTCTACCCAGACAGTTTCAGTCTCCGTGGTTATGGCTGCCCCGCATACTTTGTTCCATTCCGGATGAAGCTACTGCCACCTGTGTACCAGGTGTTATCCGCTTCAGGCAAGGGCTGATCCTGGAGGTCGTCTCTCACCCCAGGTACCTGGGCCAGGATTTCCTGACAGTCATGGAGGGGGGGCCTCCCATTCCGGGTTGGGGAGCAGCGTGGCTGGATTCAAGGAGGTGGGGGTCTGGAACAGAATTCTAGCAGGATCTAGGAGCAAGCCCTGGTAGTGAGTCAAGCGGGCATTACTTATCCATCGATCTGGTGGCTGTCTGAGCACCCCCTCTACGGCATGGGGTGTACTGACACACAGTTCTTGACCCATGGCTATTTTGTCAGCATCCTTGACCATAGTGGCGACTGCCGCAATGATTTTCAAACACGGGGGCCATCCAGCTGCTACAGGATCTAATGTCTTTGAGAGGTATGCTATGGGCTTTCTCCAGGGGCCTAGCTGTTGTAGCAGGACCCCCTTTGCGACCCCTTTCAGTTCATCCACATATAGATGAAACGGTTTGTGAAATCAGGTAACCCAAGGGCCGGGGCCAAGAGTAACGCTTGTTTGAGGTTATTAAAAGATTGGTTCATGGCCTCCATCCAAACAAAGTCTTACTTTTTTTTAGTGGCTTCATATAGCAGTCTAGCCAACTCAGGGAACCCAAGAATCCACGAGTGGCAGAACCCCGCTGAACCCAGGAATTCGCATACCTGGCGGACATTTTGTGGAGGTGGAATTCTTAGAACAGTTTCCTTTCTAGTGTCCGTTAGCCATCTCTGCCCATCTTTTATTTTGTATCCCAGATAGCTCACCTCTGTTCTGCAGATTTGTGCCTTTTTTGCCGAGACATGGTACCCCAGGGTGCCCGGAGTTTGTAACAAGTCCTGAAGGCTTTTCTCTCCTAACCTCTCTACCCTCTACAACTTTCTTTTAATATCTGGGGCAGCTTGATTGACAAAAGCTATTATAATGGCTGCCCTAGTCTCCGGTGCTTCTGGATTCATAGAAGTGTACCGCCTGAAGGCCTCCATAATTCTCTCCAGAAAAGCGGCCGGACTCTCATCCTTATCTTGTCTAACATCATATACTCTGGCCAAATTAGTGGGCTTGCATGCTGCAGCCCTGAGACCCGCCATTAGAATCTGGCGATAGACCCGGAGCCTCTCCTTACCTTCTGCCGTATTAAAGTCCCACGCAGGGCGGGACAGGGGAAAGGCTGCATTGATGAAATCCGGATTCTGGGTCAGTTGTCTATCCTCCCCCAGAACCAATTTCTGGGCTTCCGTCTGAATGCGTTCTCTTTCCTCCATGGTGAAGAGAACCTTTAAAAGCATTTGGCAATCATCCCAGGTGGGCTGGTGGGTAAAGAGAATGCTTTCTAACAAGTCAGTTAAATCTTTGGGATTATCAGAAACTTTGGCTGTTTGGTTTTCCAGTTGTGCAAATCAGAGGTGGAGAACGGCCAATAGTGCAGGGGCTGTTCTCCAGTTTCATCCGGAGGCCCCACTGCATGGAGGGGGAGTACAGTGAAGTCAGCGGGTCCCATATTTGGGCCTGGGGCTGCCCGATTGGTGCATCCCCGTGTTCTCGCCACCAGTCTGCACGGGGGTTTCTCCGCCTGTGGAACAGGGGCCTGGCCCCCAACGGCACTCTCTCTAGGCACCAGGGGAGCCGAAGGGATATCATGATAGGGAGGAAGGAAAAGTAAATCCTCAGGCTCTGTGTCCTGCAGGACCGGGTAAAGAGGGGTTTCAGTCGACCCTTGGGTTTCCGTAGGCCTGCTGGGCTTTGTCTCCTGCGAGGCCAGGACTCTGAGCATCGGCCCTGTTTGAGGTGGAATAAAAGATTTGGCCCATGGGGGGTTTATTGATTACATCCTGCCATACGAGGATGTAAGGCACCTGATCCGGGTGGCTGTGACATCCATCCTGGAAGATAACATGCTTAACCTGCAAAACAAGACTTAGTGAGAAAGTGCCCTCTGGCGGCCATGCTACATTGAAGGACGGCCATTCAGATGTGCAGAGGGTTTGAAACTTTTTCCTGTGGATGGTTAACACTCAGATTATGAGCCCTTTCTTTTATGTCTGAAAAGTGGTCAGTCATCAGGGTTAGAGGGGTGGTCAGCGTCTGTCCCATGTTTTCCATCCACAATAGCACAACCACAAACACAACAGACAAAATGAAACTACCAACATAAAAGTGTGGTTTTCTGCAGCCGTGAAGACAAAAGTAAAACTGAGCTGAGAGTAAGTCCGTGCCCCTTGGCAACTGACTTTCCTCACAGATGAGGACTTCATCCTCCAGATGGGGCCACGGGACGTCTCCCACGACCTCTGGTTGACGGCCGCCAGTGCGTCCGCTTAAGCCAATGCTGACCCAGATACAGAGTGGAATTCCTACGGATAATACAGATGCACGCTGATAGAGGAACGAGTGCACTCACCTGTCGGCACTGGGACCCTCCGGGCTGGGGGTGTCTCGGGGGGGTCTCTGGGATCCCGGACGCACCCCCAAATGTTGTACCTGAATCCTGAATCTGAGAGACCACCAAAGAGCCAGCTCCGATGCAAATCACACGAGGGTCTTTATTCAGCTCGAGTCTGGGCTCACGTCCATAACCGGCGCAGCGGTACAGGAACGAGAGCCCCGACCCAGGGCAGCAAGCAGCTTATATACACAGTTACAAGGGAGGGGAAATAACTGGAAACTTGTTCGCACATGATTGGGTAATTTCTCCTATTGGGTACGGGGGTGTTTGGGATTGGTTGGTTTGATCATGGGTCGCGGCTGACCATGGCTGACCATCAACGGTCAAGCGGGCTGGGTGGAACTGCTTGGGACATCTGGAATGTGAGATTACTAGGGGAGTGGGGCAGGAAATGGGGCCAGAGGGTCTGCACCGTGACTTCGCGGTTTTCTTTTGGTATGTGAACTTGTTTACCAAAAGTATACCACTGGGCTTGGGCGGGAAAGCAAGCATACATCTGAGTTTTAAAAACAAGTTTCAATATACATTCAAAATAAGCTTCAACCTACACTTAAAACAAGTTTTATCACACAATTATGAACTAGATGGCCTTTGAGCTCCTCAGTGCCTATGGTTTCCCCCTCCCCTGACTCTCCTTCAGTGGTGGGATGTGGTCTGTGCCCAGCCTCTGACTTGGTCAGCAACCATCAGTGCCAGCAGGCAGGCCTGGTAACCTGGTTCTGACAGCAGGTCATTCCTGCTGGCCTCAGGATACAGTGAGGTAGTTGCATCCTTTCAAGGTCATTGAATGCACTTTTTTTTTTTTTTTTACTTTTAATTTTAAAGATGTGGAGTCCAATTCAGGGTTAGGTATACAAGTGAACATTATGCAGGTACCCTTGTTGAATGCACATTTTCAAGTCATCCTCTCTCCTGCATGTTTTCCAAGCTAGTGATAACCAGCTTTGTTACAGTGGGCTCAGCAGTGAGTTGGGTGTGGCACGAGCCCCTGTGTTTTGCCATCCTGCATCTATGCAGCCTTCTGCTGGAAGCAGCAGGGCACCTGTTACCCTCTGGGGAAGTACCCCTCCCCCACACCTAGCCCCTGAAGTTGGGGTTGAATTCAACTCAGCCACAGATGGGCACGTGACTCCCAAGCTTCACACTTCTAACTGGGGAGGGAAAAAAGCCCCAGGCAGAGCAGGGAAGTGAAATGAGATGTTGAAGGGTGGCTGGGCTGGAAGGTTCCCCCAGGGCCTAACAAACAGAAAAGATGAGGAAGTCTTGAGCCGCTGGGACCTGACAATGAATGGTTTTTGCATAAGCCACTTTGGGTTGGACTTTCTTTCCCTTGTAGCTTACTGAAAGAGTTATTATTATTATATAAATTGCAGTTCAGAAAGGATCCCTGTCCACAACTCTGTGAACAGAGTGAGGGCTGACACGGGCCACAGCAACCCCTGATGTGACTGACATTCCAGGGCTCCAGGAGCAGGAAACTGGGCTGGGAGAGCTGGAGTTGCATGGGAAACGAGAAAACTTGCTCGACTGTTTGCTAGGGAAAACAGTTGCTGATACTTGTTGTGTATTCTCTTTATCTCACTATGTGGCACAGTGTCATAGCACTACGAAACTGGGAAAGAACGCCCTCTGGAATGAATTCTGGAGAATCATGGAAAATGTGTCAGGAGCTTGGCCTGCCTCAGAGGAGGGTTGGAAGGGTGGGACACAGGGGTCAACTCCCCAGATAACCTGAGGCTCCTCCTGGATCACAGCTGTCCTGGGCACGGCCTGTGTTACCCTGCTGTCCTGGCTTAGCTCTCTCTGTGACCCCCACCCCCTCCTATCTTTTATACTATTTGCTGAAATCCTGCCCATACTCCAAGGCCCTTCTTGAATGCTACTTCCTCCTGTCATCCTTGCTTGCTTGTCCCTGGCACATGAGCTCACTCATTTGCCACCGGAGATTTGTGGTGGTCGAGGGAGCACTGCCTGGTGAGCAGAGCACAGGCTTCCCTTGAGGCTGAAGCCTGGCTTTGCTGCCTTCCATTATATGACTGTGGCATGTCATTTGGCCTATTTTTTTTTTTGAGTTGGAGTCTCACTCTTTGTTGCCCAGGCTGGAGAGCAGTGGCACGCTCATAGGCACCACGGCCTCGACCTCTTGGGCTTAGGCGATCCTTCCGCCTCAGTCTTCTAAGCAGCTGGAACTACAGATGCACGCCACCATGCCTGGCTGGTTTTTGTGATTTATTGTAGAGACGAGGTCTTACCAAGTTGTCCAGGCTGGTCTTGAACCACCGGGCCCAAGCAATCTTCTCACCTTGGCCTCCCAAAGTGCTGGGATTATAGACTGAGCCACTGCACCCGGCCTGGCCTCTTTAAAAAAAAAAAAATTTATTATAGAGATATGGGGTACAAGTGAAGGTTAACGGAACAAGTAGGCTGCATGCAAGTGAAGTTTGAGCCTCCAACTGGAGTATTTAGGACTGGGTACCCTTTGTGTTGTTACACCCCCCTCCGCCCCACCCCTGTCAGTGACCAGTGACTACCTGAAGGGCACAGAGAACAGTCAGAAGGGCGTCCCCAAGATGGCGCTGCCACCCAAGACAACAAAGGCCCTAAGCTCCAGCTTCTCCCCATACAGTTTCCCGCACGCGCGAAGTTTAAACCTGTGCGTGAGTAACTTCTCCCTATAGGAATACTACCTCATAGTCTCCTCCAATAAAGCCCAAACACGGCACTGGCCACCCCATGCCAAGCCCATAAATACAGCCCTCTCCCTGCATAGCTCTCTCTCTCGCGCGCGCTCTCTCTCTCTCTCTCTCTCTCTCTCGCTCTCTCTCTCTCCCTCCCCATCTCTCTCTCTCTCTCCCTCCCTATCCCCTGCGGTTACAGACCCCTCTCCTTTCCCCTGTAGCCACTGCTTTAATAAATCTCTTGGTCTTTAATGGGTGTGGAGTTGTCACTGGCGCCTAAGTTCTTTCACTGCCACTCCCTTCCTTGTGCTAATGTGAGTAGTGTTCAGGGCCTACTTATTAGTGAGACCATGCAGTATTCAGTTTTTTATTTCTGTGATAGATCATTAAGTATGATGGTCTCCAACTCCATCCAGTTTGCTGCGAAGTTCATGATTCTGTTCTCCTTTATGGCTGTGAAGTATTCCACTGCGTACCACATTTTCTTTATCCAGTACTTGGCCTCTTTGAATTTGATTGTCCTCATCTGTAAAATGGGAATGACACTCTCTACCTTGGCATTGGAGGGTTGGGAGAGAGGCAGGGGCCAGGCAGAGTGGCCCACATCAACTGCTCAGACTCCTCTGTCTAGCATGGAAGGTTCCCTTGGGCTCCTCCTCTGCCCCAGGTGTTCCACAGGACCAGGAGGACAGAGTGGAGGCAGGCCTGGGTGAGAAGAGTGTGCCTGTGCACTGAGATATGCACCTCCTGCGGTCAGTCATTGCCATCTGCCCCTCTTCCTCCCACCCACCCCCAATCGAGAGTGTACATTTTGGGAGGGGAAGGATGGCCCTAACTCACCCTGTGAGCTGAACAGGTGAATACCCAACCTGGGAGGTGGCTGCAGGTGACCCTGTAATTGAATTGAGATGGTGGAGTAGGTCTTATTTTTCTTTTTTTGAGTTGGAGTCTCACTCTGTCGCCCAGAAAGGAGCGTAGTGGCCGCTCTCGGCCACTGCAGCCTCCACCTGCTGGGCTCCGGCAATCCTTCCGCCTCAGCCTTCCAAGTAGCTGGAACTACGGGCACGCACTACCACGCTTGGCAAAGTTTTTGATTTATTGTAGAGATGAGTTCTTGCCAAGTTGCCCAGGCGGGTCTCGAACCCACGGGCTCAGACAATTCACTCACCTCAGCCTTCCAAAGAGTGGGATTACAAGCTGAGCCACCGAGCCTGACTAATAAATTGTTTTGAATTAAGCTGAGATTCAGACAAATGGAGAGGAGGAGAAAAAGAATGTTTTGTGGGGTTTCCCCCAGGCAAAGCCCACAGTCTCAACCTACCACCTCTTAGCCGGGCCTGTCATTCATTCAGCTTTACAGGAAGGTCTTTTTTTTTTTTTTTTTTTTTTGAGTTGGAGTCTCACTCTGTCGCCCAGACTGGAGTGCAGTGGCTGCACCCGGCCAACGCAGCCTCGACCTGCTGGGCTCCGGCGATCCTTCCACTTCAGCCTTCCAAGTAGAGGAAGGTTTTTATAGGATCCCTACTCTGGAGGAAGCACCTGGGGCACCGAGTGAGTTAGACACAGAATATGCTCTCAGGGGGCAGAAACAGTGAGCACCCAATAGACATCCAGACAGGGACTCAATTACAGGGACGAGCTGGAACCCAGAGGCCACCCCATAGCTAACACCCTGGGAGGGCTGTTTCTGGTCCTCCATTGCCGCATCTGATTCTTCCTTTTCTCACCAGAGTGGACACCCAAGCTACAAACCAACTGGATTGATCTTCCTTCTCCTAAACTCTCAGCAATGTGCCAGGATAAAGGGTGGGAACTGGGAAGGAAAGAGACATGAAGGTTTCTGTGATTCAAAAGCTGCAAACTTCCGTCTGATCCCAGCCGAAGGGGTCAGCGGGCCAGACCCAGAGAGAAGGGAGGGTAAGGGTTCCCCACATGCTACCCTCATCAGATAATAGCCCAGTGTTCCCATCAGAGTGCCAGAGAATGAGGGGCTTTTGAGAACCCAGAGCTGAGAGAAATCTCCTGGTTGAATTTACACTGGGAGGGACAAACTTCTCAGAGGCTCACAGGACCCTTACCCAGGACCACCTCACAAGAATTCCCCAAGCTTAGCTTCCTCTGCTTTTTACTTAGTTCAAGGCATCAACATTCATTGTGTTTCAGTCAGATGAACTGAAGAGTAAGTACCATTCCAAGTTAAACTAATGAATAACCCTGAGGCAAATGACGACAGAGGCTGAACATTTTGATCAAATCTTGTGAGTTTCCAAAGATCTCTTTATCCCAAGGATATGCGTTTGGCCAGTAAAATACTGAATAAAATCCATCATGTTTCCAGAGCCAAGTCTAATTCTGCTGGGGTGGGGTGGGAAGGACAGAATCGACCATATAAGGATATTTTGAATAGTGACCGTTCTGGAAATGTGTTCTGAAATCCTTAGATGAGAAGGGACAAAGGGACAAACTGACCACAGCTGGTCACTGGGGCATGTGCTCCATTCTGACCCAGTCCCTAATTTGGGAAGCGAGAAGGTTCAAAGCCCTAGGGAGACAGTGAGTCCTGGGAGGAAGAGCACTCAGCCAGCTGGAGGCAGAAGCAGCGGTTCTGTTGGAAGGGGCCTTGGAGGAGGGAAGCGGGGTGGGTAAGAGGAAAGGAAGTAGCCACCTTCCAAGGTCTGTCCTAGCCCCTCCCTAGGGAGTGCTGTGCCCCCTACCTGCCAGGTCCTGTAGCTATGGACGTCCTCCCTGCAGAGCTCTGGCCTCTGTGAGAGTACAGCCACACTGTGCCCTGCTGTGACCCCGTCAGATCTTCCTGCTAGATGCTGACACACAGCGGCGCATGCTCCTGAATGAATAAACACGTCAACTCTCTATTGTCAAGATGCGAAAACCCCCTACGAAAACCCCCTGCTCTGAAGGAGATCAGCACCAGGCATTGGGCTGAGGGTTCCACAGGCAACCCCTCAGCCAAGCCTCCTGTTTATTTTCTTTCTGCCGACAACATTCCAGACCATTAAAAATGTCTTTGAAATGTGATCTTTTGCTGGGCTCGGTGGCTCAGCCTGTAATCTTGCACCTTTGGGAGGCTGAGATGAGTGGATTGCTTGAGCCCACGGGTTCGAGACCCGCCTGGGCAGCAGGACCTCATCTCTACAATAAATCAAAAAATCAGCCGGGCGTGGTAGCGCATGCCTGCAATTCTGGCTACTCGGAAGGCTGAGGCGGAAGGATCGCCGGAGCCCAGCAGGTCGAGGCTGCGGTGGCCGGGAACGGCCACTGCACTCCAGTCTGGGCGAAGGAGTGAGACTTCAACTCAAAAAAAAAAAAAAAAAAAGAAATGTGATCTTTTAATTACAGGAGGAATACTAACCCTGGGAAGGGGCCTTTCCCCCAGATGCTCTGGAAACTCCTTCCTAGAAGAAATACAGCCCCAACAGAAGCCGAGGAAGGGGCACTCAGGGTCCCTATAGGAAAGAGCCCCTATGGGCCCTTGGGGCAGAGACCCTTCTCCTTCCTGCTGGGCCTGACTTGGGACATGCTCACCGCATCTCCAGTACCCAGTTCTCCCCAGAAGGTCCCTTGGCCATAACCCAAAGCTTAGGAACTAAGGGTCTGCAGACACATTCTCCATCCCTCTATCAAAGTATCCCCTTTCCTTGCATTCAGCAAAATGGCATTGTCTTCCTGGACCTCCAGGGCCAGCTCCAGGGTCAGCAATGGCTTTCCCAGGTGGCTCAGGCTGGCTGCACACAGCCCCTCGCAGAGAAGGGGGCTTCCTGGAAACACCCAGGGCAGCTAGGCAGAGGTGAGCTGTGACCCTGGCTAATCAAAGAACTCCCTATGGCCTTGGATGGCCAGCCTGCTAAACCCTTGAGAACTCCACCTTCTGCCATTTTTCTACTGAACTGAGTGCTCACCCTGCCCTGGAAGCATGGGAGTTTATTTAATACCCAAGAATGCTAACTGAGATCATAGTGACTCTGAAGTTCACCCTGGCGGTGCTGCAGTCTGAAAAGGTGTTTCATGACACAACTGCTGGGGCGCCAGCCTGCAGGGGGCTTCTCCCAGGGAACATACCACACCATAATCTACCTTGGGCAGGCGAGTCCCTGGGAAACTTAGTTAATGGTGTCTAATAACTTTAAGAGCCACGAGAAGCTCAGGTGGACCCATGTGGACAGATATTGTTCAGACATTTTCTCAAATAAGTGTGCAGAACCACTCCTAGTCTTGCTTTTCCAGTGTTAGTTACCTGCTGAACTAGGTGGGGCAGGTATAGATGCAGGACGCTGGGCACTTGGAGAGGTGTAGGAGGCACTTTGGGCTTCAATTATTTTCTCCTACTTGATAGTCCCAGACACCTTGGGAACAGTGATGTGCACCCTGCCTGGGCCCTCGAGATGCCTTCAGTGTGACTGTCTTAAGGTCATTGTATCTTCTCGTGGCTCTGTCAGGATGTTCTGTTAAACTTCAAGTATTTCTGTTCTCAATCACTGTATCCTTACTAAACCTCTGTGGTCTCTTCTCAAGCAACTTTTTGGTAAAAAACACTTTCCTGACTACCCCTTAAGTACTGTCTAGCTTTTGTGTTAGCACTGATTCGGTTGGTAATTCTTGACTCTCCGAGGCTGCCCAGCAGAGTTTCAAGACCAAGTGGGATCCACGGACAGGCAGGAAGGTTGATGGGCTCTCCACCTGCTGACCTGGTGAAGGGACAACAGGGCATCGACACTGTTCCCTGTCTCTCCTCTTCAACCATTCGTGATCCATGTTGCTTCTCACTCAATTAAACCATAGGGAGTGTCTGTGACTGTTCGTTTTTAGAGAAAGTCTAACTTGATTTTTGATCCAATTGTATTCTTGGAAACACTCTTCTGGCTGTCCCATTTTGATGCCATGCTTTCATTTGGGGGAATATTTCCAAAGTTATATGGATTTACCAGCTGCCAGGACTGGAGTGCTTTCCGTGGGGACAGAGGGTGGCTCCCCAGCTAAGGTTTAACAGGGAGGGCTCCACTTCGTTCCTAACCTTTATACCTTGGCATCCTGTAAGATAGGCTTCCTGGTCTTCTTATTGCAACATAACCCAAACCGCAGAGGTTATGAACTTCTCTGTGTTTCTTCTTTCATGAACCACCAGGCGGTACAGCAAGCCCTGCCCACTTCCTGCTCACGTGCACGGTCTGCAACGACCATTTACTTCAGGATGTGAAGTCAAAAGCAGAGCCCAAACAATAGTGAAGTCGAACGCTCCATCTAGTCCTGCTCACCTACTCAGAACTACCCTATCTTCGAAACGAACTGCCAGTGCTTATGTAACAGGTACCAGCCGACTCCACAAACTCAGGCCTTTGAAATTAAATATGGCTCAACTCTGCATTTATGTACAACAGTGTCTGTTATCTGTTGTACTTATTTCCCAAGAGAGCTGTTTCCAGGTTCCCAGGAGAGCTCTTAAGAAAAACCTTTTCTGATAGAACTAGGGGGTTGGAGTTGGATTTCTATAAAGTCAGATAGCCCTGAAGGGGGACTTTTTTTTTTTTTTAAATGGAAAGTATCCTGAAAGGACAGCTAGCAAAACTCAATCTGCTGATGGTGCGAGCACCACGGCACAGCCCTGGTTTGGCACCGAGGGAGACATCGGGGTTACATATGACAAGACTTGTTCTCAGAGTGCTTGCCGATGTGTCAACAGCCACATGAAGAAACCGCTATCACTGGTTATATGATTAGGGGTGGGGCAGACACTTCCCACCACAGAGACAACTGTTTGTGACTCTGGTGGGATTCCAGGTGCTCTTGTCTTAGTCCTTTGTACATCACACACTGTGGGCTGAGTTATACACTCTTGGTCTCTCTTCACAGCTCAGCCACTCCTCCTCGTGTCATCGGGGCAAGTCGTTGGAACGATCTTTCCATTTCTTCACCTGCAAACTGGGGATAAATGGATGCACCTCATGGGGTGTTGGAAGGATGAACAGAGCTCTTGTATGCCAAATGCTGGTACCTAGTGGAGTTTTAACAAGTGTCAGGTAATTTTGTGCATCTCTGTATCCCCAGTTCCTGGCTGGCCTGCGATGAATGGGCCAGTGGGTGCACAGGGGCAAGTGCTGGCCCAACTCCTCACATTTCCTTACTTTTCTTTCCCCTCCATTACAACCTTTCTCAATAGTCATGCCAGGATATACAACCCCAATCCCACCCCTGAACGTTTCTGTGGCTAAGAACCCAGTTTCCCAGGGGAGTCCTGCACTTAGCCAGCTCTCAGTCACCTCCCTCCCAAGAAGAGGTCACAGCATGCTGCAGGGACAGTGCCATCGGGCAGGAGACTTGGGCAGACTCTGACGTGAGAGTCCTGCAGCTCCCTGAGTAGGTTCATGTCACCATAGCAACCAGCTCACCCCCTCCAGGGTGGTGTCTTTTCTTCCTCTGTTCTTTTCCTTCTTTCTTACCCTTTTTTCTTCACCATGTGCTTGTTATAGGCATCCAACCAATCTTTATATACCATCACAAGGACACAAAGGCCTTTGAGGTGAGGAAATAGTGCCTGTCTTCAGTTTGGAGTGAGAGGCCAGCACGAATGTCACACAGACATGTGGTGATACTGGTAAGAGGGGGGACATGCAACCCAAGTCTTTGTTAGCCTACATGTGTTCCTCCCCTGGTCGTGCCAGGCCTCGCCTGCACTGGGCAGCCCTCAGAAGGTGGTGGCAGTCCCAGCAGGACGGCTCTGTCAGTGCTCCGCCTTCTCGAGAGGAGCCTCAGGATAAAGGTGGTGTCGATCCTGTCATGCCTGGGGCGATTCCCAGGGAATCAAGCGTCCTCTTTTTCTTTTTTCTTTTTTAACTCTTCCTGTTTAGAAACTTGAAACGGAAAAAAGGGACCAGATATTGTTTTATTCTCTCTGAACTCCTGCAGGTACAAAACAAACGGAAAGGGCTCCAGCCCTTTTGCTTTCAGTTTTATCTGCTCACAGCGATAACGTTCTGGAAGGGGTCATGAGCGGTTCACCCTCGACTCGTGCCAATAGCAGGACGGCAACTCAGACCTCTGCCTTGGAAGTGTAAAACCTGCCTGGAGGTGTCTGCCAACTTCCAGCTGCTTAAAAAAAAATCGTCAGTTCTTTGTGGCTTTGCTTTATCCTCTCTGTTTGTGGTTTATACATTGTTCTCTTCTTGAAAGAAAGGTAAACAGAAATATCCCCTGCTGCAGCTGGCTGGTGCAGAGCCAGCAGGGGGAGCTCGGGATGTCGTCAATGATTAATTCAGGTATTTAGAGTTTCTAATGTTTGGCATATGGATGACGGAAACAAACATTCAAAAATGACCCAGATCTTACAGGGAGTGACCTTGTCGTAAAACACCCCTGAACCTATAGCCAGACAAAGCAAGTTCATTCCAACACCGACATGAGTGGCGACGTGGCCTTCGGGAACCATAAGTTCAATAGCGGAACCTGGTCTCCACCCAGCTCCCACCCTTTCCTGATCTGAGGTGGACACTTGCTTCTGGTAACTCAGACCCACCCTCAGTGGACTCAGACCTTCAGGTGTGGTCTTAGAGGTTCTTGTGGGGAATTTGGTGAGTACTTCCTGCAAAATATCTTAAAAGGCAGGGCAGCGGAGGGGCCAGGATGTGTATGTGCAAAGAGCACGCTCAAGTAACCTAAAGGACTTCCTGTTTGACTGGCTCTTTGCATTTTACAATAACACGTGGCCAAGCACTACACATATATTTAGGGGGAGTATTTTTCAATTATGAGATATCTCCAAACATTAGGAAATATATTTTTTCCCATTTAGAGATGTCAAAGAACTCATCTAGCTATAAAGTAGTCAGTCCAGTGCCACTGGGATCAGTCCCAGGGTGATGATTTTCCAGCCGAAAGTATGTATCAAGGAACTGGGAAACAGTCTGCTCACTGGCTTTTCCAGGCACCTGGGTAGACTATAGTCACGTGAATCCTTGTTGCAAAGCCTTGTTTAAATGGTTCCTCAACTGGAAGTGGTGACACACGCCTTTAGTTCCAGCAACTTGGAAGGCTGAGGTGGAAGGATTGCCTGATCCCAGCAGGTCGAGGCTGCGGTGAC